CGCCGGCGGACGGCTCAACTTTTGCACGGCCCGCGGCGCATGCGGGCGTGCTCTGCAGTCCGCGGGCACAGCCTGCTCGGCCTGCTCGAGTACTCACCGCTGAGCGCGGGCTGGGCGGCGCCGAGGAGCAGCAGCGTCATGGTCCAGAGCGGCGCCCTGGGCCGGCCGGGGCCGCGGGCCAGCCCCGTGTCCGGGACGCACTCCATGCCCTCTGCGGCGACGTGCTTGACGGCGGCCTCAGCTGCGGGACGGCGGCGGTGGGCCCGACGGGGCGCGGCGGCGCCGCTGTGGCCGACACGGCCGGCAGGGCCTGGCGGAGCGCATGCCAACCTGCCAACAGCGACTCGGTTCAGTGTCGGAACCCGAGCGGAAAATGCATTTTCCACCCCTGCAAAGTAGGTTCGTTGTGCTTGCTGAGTATTTATTTTCTGACATCGCAGTGTTCACCGGGGTAATGCGAGCGATAACGGCGATAGCGCGCTGCGGTCGGGGAGGTCGGGGTATCGGTTGCACTCATCTTCGCACACGTTAATGCACGCCTCGCGGCCGACGAGCCGGCAACCTGCACACCGATTCCGAGAGTCGTTTTCGTCGCAATCTCTCTCGCACCTGTACAGGACGCGCCATGAGTGCGAGGGAGACAGCGACGAAAACGACTCTCGGTATCAGTCCGCAACGCGAGTGATGAGGAAAACGACCGCAGTCTCCCGGCACGGTGCCGCGGTCGGTGCGGTTGAGGAACGAGAGGATAAAGATGCTCGACACCCACACTCGTGAAACCCGATCGCAGCCGCGGTGGAGGCGGCGGAGGCCCGGCCCTTGATAAGGCAGCCTTCGCCGAGTGCATAATCCATGTGGGGTTGGGTATCGCCGATGGCAGCCGCCAGGCCAAGGTAAAAGTGTGCGAAGCCCGTCTCCTGGAATGCGATGCAGGCCGTGGCGGAGGAGGGCGGAGCTGCGCCGCGCGATGCCGCGCGATGCTGTGCCCCACGCAACAGGTGCGGCCGCCACCCACTCGTCTAGCAGACGGGCATGCAACTCGCATTTTGGCAGTGTAGCGGAGCAAGCGGAGCAACAACGCGGACAATGTTGCCGGCGGCGGCCAGCGGTTTGCTTTCGTCGCTCGCCGCCTCTCTCGCACTCATGAGGTGTCCCGCACAGGTGCGAGAGAGACGGGGCGACGAAATGATGTGCGGCCCGTTGCAGTGTTATTCCACCGCAGGCCTTTTGACAACGTCAGTTTCATATTAGAGAGATGGCACGGCCTGCCGTGCGAAATATGGAATGCAAGCTGCTTCGAAGTACTTAATTGGGTCGGGGACAATCCATAAAGTTCTCACGAACTGTGAACACTCTTATGTCAACAAGCATGCACAGAAGCAACTGAGTAAAGTATAACCCCACCTTCGCGCGGACACGCGCCGCGTTCCCGTTGCGGCGGCCTGGCGTGGCCTGGCGTGGCCTGGCGGCGCCGCGGGGCCGAGGCCACGCGATCACTTCGAAAAGCACAAAAACACACGAACACCAATCACAAGATCACTTATGATGACTTTTGTTTTCCTAACCCCACTTTTTCACCGGACTGCCACGGACACGGACGGACACGGCACGGCAACACGATCGGGACGTCGCTCGACGCGCGGCGAATGCGGCGACTGAGGCGGACTGCGGCGCGGCGGCGAGGCGGCGGCATCGGGCGCGAGCCGAGGAGCGAAGCGAGCGACGCGGAGGACTGGCCGGCAGCGCGGCAGCCGGCACTGACTTGACTAAATAAAACCTGACAACAGAACAGTCGGTTCACTAAGCGCCTGTGTGTGCGTGCGTGCGTTCGTGTGTGTGCATTGCTCAGGGAGGGGCGGCGGTAGGCGGGACCAAGGAGTGCAGCGGGCGGCGCGGGCGGCGGGGAGGGAGGGGAGCGGCGCAGAGGGGACGGACGGACGGGCCGGCGGAGGAGAGGAGGGGATGAGTTGAGGTTAGTTGGTGTTCAAAGCAGGGGGAGGGCATTTAATGTGTGTTCGGAGAGGGTGGATGGATGGGGTCATCGCGGCGCACGCGGCCGCTAAATGAGTCGCCAATGGTCAACGCCGTGGTCGTCGCCGTGGTCGTCGTCACCCTCGAGGTGCCCGTCGTCCACACTGTGAGCCGTGATTCGGGGACAGCGGCCGTTAGTCGGCCGGGCAGAGTTTGATGGCTGCTCAAGTCCATTGCGGCGACCGAAGCGCCGCAACCCCAAACCACCCCAAATCGACTCCTTCGAACTTACGGAGCTGTTCTCTGGCGCCGCTTTGCCTGCCGCTTCGCCTTGGCGGCGTTGTTCGCAGGGCTCATTGACACGGCACCTGAAGACTGATTCAGAGAGTCGTTTTCGTCGCTCTATCTCTCTCGTACTCATGCAGAGTCCCTTGTAGGTGCGTGAGAGACAGAGCGACGACATTCAGAATCGAGGACGCCGCCGAGGCCCCGACGCCAGTTGCTCAGCTACGTTCGGGAGGTCGGCGTCGGCGCGACGCGACCCATTGTGTGCCGAGACTGTCGTCGGGCCGTTCAAAGCGTCCTCGTCAGTCAGTCCCGTGTGTGCGTGCGGTGCGTGCGTGGAGGTGTGTGCGCGACACGTGTGTCTGCGTGTGCGTGCTTCTGTATGTTTAGTTTACATACTATGCGTGGCTCGGAATTTGTTTTCTGTTTGGATATTTTTTTTCCAGCTCGGTGCGCGGTATTTGAATGAAGAAGCCACAGCAGTACGCAGCGGTTTGACGGACGTGTGAGCGCTGCTGTGTTGCAGTGGAGTGGGCTTCCGAACAGCGGTTTTGCCGCTGTCTCTGTCGCGCGCATGCGTGCACGGGGCGTCCCGCGAGAGCGAGACAGCGACGAAACGACTCCGGCGTCGAGGCTGTACTGCGTGACGTAAACATGAGAAGCAACATCGGCACGCTCGACGCAGTCCTTCGGGTATCGAAATACACACTGCCAGTCCCGATGTCCTCCAGACGGACGACAGCCAAAGTCGAAACCTAACCAAACACGGGAAACGAAGCACTGCCCGCGAAACACGCGAGTTCCCAAGCCCACGAACACGATCGCCCGCGGCGTGAGGAGCGGCAGGAGTAGCGTGGCGTATAAAGCGATAATTAAATAAAATATTAAAGTGGACTGCATGCGGACTGCACGGCCTGCTGCGGGGAGGGGCGGGGATCCTGAGGCACTCCTTGTAATGCAGCACGGCTAGCGCTGGCTAGCGCGGCATGGGCCGCCAGTGCGCGTGGGTGGGTGGTCCGCCTGCCGGCCTGCCCTCTGCCCCTCGCAGCCCCGCGACTGGCGCCCCAAGTGGCTCTCGCGCCGCGCCGCCCGCCCCGACCCCGACACTGACCACGACCACCCCGCCCCGACAGGCCGTCGGCGTCGCCGGCCCGCATGACGCGGCACGGCCGGGCACGGCGCACCCAGGCCGCCCCGTTCCACGCCGTGATGGCCTCGTCCTCGGAAGCAGGCACTTTCCGTGTTTAACGCGTTATTAAAAATGTTTCCGTAATCGCTGGGGTGTTATATATATAGGAGAACGTGCATGTAGAACAGGAACCTTATGAGGACGGGCGTCGTGCCTCTCTCGCCGGCCAACCCGCAGACCCAGTGAAGCGCGGCGGGGCGTGGCGCGTCGTGAGTGCGTGCGTGTGTGTGTGTGCGTGCGTGTGCGTATCGGAAAGCAGATACTGCATCTTTCGGGTGCCACAATGCCTTTCAGGCTCCACAAAAAAATTATTACGAAACCAACATTTGAATGAAAATGCCCATTGATTTGGTCACTCACGATCAATGTTGTCGCAGGAGTGCCAAAAGTGTCGAAAGGTTTGCCAACCTCATCCTGCCTGCAGTAAATGGGCTTTGCTCTCGAGAAGTTGCCTAGAAGGCAGGCTGGGGTTGGCAACCCTCTCGACACTTAAGACGGTACCCCGATCCCCAGCCCAGACCGCCCCTTGTACGCAGCGTAATGCCTTCATAATTGTTTTCCCGTGAAGGAGAAAGGAGCGTGTTTGTCTTGATAAACTCTCCAAGAGACTCGCCGATCGTAAAGCTCGTCTGCCCCGGGACGGCCGTCCGCCAAGCATGTACTGCTTTACTGTGACAGTTGAGGCATATTGACGTTTTCCAAACCGGCGGCGCCGCGGGCGTTCGGGGGCCTTCATAAAACGCTGCGAGCGGATATTGCTTTCCACGAAGACATACTTTTCCTTTGGAACGGTGCGGGGAGTGTGGCGCGAGCGCGCAGGCACGCGGTGTGTATCGGAGACGAGGACCCACCCGCCGCACGTGCGCGCCAAGGTGGAATCTCCCGGCCGCGACGCCGCGACGGGGTGGCCTAGGGTGGGCGTGCCGGCGTGCCGGCGTGCCGCGCCGCACCTCGCCGACAATGTTGTTGTGACTGCCGGCCGGGAAGCGAAGCAAGCGAAGCAAGCGAAGCACGCGGGAAGGGCTTTGCGCCGGAAGCACGGACAATGTGAGCATTGCAAGGCAGTGCGACGCATGCACCGCGCCGCCAGCACCGCTATGGCTGCTGTTGCTGCTGCTGCTGCTGCACTGCGTCGAGAAGGCGAACGAGTGCGTGACTGCGAGCGTGTCACGCCGGGCCGATGTTCGCCGCCGACACCTCTTGCCTTCTCATTACCGCTTCTATTAGAGGCCGATACGATCCGGTTCGAAACGCTTCGGCCGCACGCACGCGAGCTGGCCCCGCACGGGGAGACAATACAACGCTCCACGCCCTGCTGCCGGAACGGCCGGAACGGCCGGGAGGCGCCGGACTACGGCCGGCCGGCCAGGCACGAGGCGCTGAACAGGAGCTGCTTCGGTACCGGTTCTCAGTACCGGCCAAGGACAAGCTGTTTTTCGGATAGGGAAGAGTGGAGTGGAGACTCTTGAAATTATCATGGATTCCGTGAGGGCAGGTAAAGCCGTGTGCCAAAGATAATAGATGTCGATCTTTGACTCCACAGGAAAGTTTTGAGTCATACTCGACCCTTGATAAGCATGAAACAAAAGAATTTCAAAATATAAGTGTTTAGCTTAAGAGAGGCCGCTGCGCACGTGGTGATGCGGGGGTATCCACGGCTTGGCCCGGACCTACCCCCCGCTCCGCAGGCTGTGCCAAGGCGCGGGGTAGCGACGCCGCCGCCGGCTCCCGCCGCCACAGCGACGCCACAAAGAGCTCCCCGGTGAAGAGGACCGCGATGACGGCTAGGCAGTACGAGTACATGATGAACACCGGCTGCACTTGGTTGAACTTGATAGGGACCTCCCTCCTGCTCCTGGTGTCCAAGTACTTGGTGAACATGGGCGGCGGCGTCCACTTGTCCTTCTCCAGCCAGTGCAGTGCCAGCCCCGACTCGGCCAGCGCCCTGAGCACGCGGCGCAGCGCGAGGACGTGGGGGGAGTTGGGCGGCAGCAGGAAGGGGTAGGCGTGGTGCGGGGACAGGCAGTAGTCGGGGTAGATGTACAACCGGCCTGCCGACAAAAACTGAGCTTCAGAAGGCTGCTGGGTGCACTGGTAAAACTAAAGCGTAGTATGTATTACCCACTGTTTTCAAGCGTAATCACTTTACACTTGGAATCAAGCGAAACAGGCTCATCCGCCAACATTCCCCCAATCTAAATGCATGGGGGAATTTCTGGTACCTGATACGTATATGCTTGGTTTCAAGCGAAACGACTTCAAGAGTGACTTTATGCTTGACTCAAGCATAGAGTTGCGCTTTAGTTTTACCAGTGTAGGTAATATCGCCACCAAAGTCTCATTTGTCCTCACCCGGCCCGTTCAGCAAGTCATTTAGGCTCGCGGCGCGACCAATAGCAGCACGCTGCTCCGCAAGCATCCAGTCGCGGCGCGCCACGATGACCTTCGTCGGGTTGGCCACTTGCCGCGCGAACTCATTGGGTGCCCCGATGCGGGACCGCTGCAGCACCCGCCGCATCCGGGGATCCGTCTCGCCGGCAAGCCGCAGCAGTTCCTGGCCGATTCGGTTGGACACTGGACAACAAGGGTCGGAGTTATCCAGTTCTTGTACGCGGTGAAAAAAGAAACAAAGATCGGGGACTCAGCTAAAGGACTTACACACGGTGATATCGGCCTCCGCCAGTTCGGTCGTGGACCACAGAGTGCGTGCGTAGGGCGGCGCCAGCACAAGGCTCCTGGTTACGCAAGGAAGGCAGTTTGACGTGCATGCCGCGCGAGACCGACTTGATTTTTGACTCGCTCTTCTCTTTCCACTCCCTACGAACTTGGGAGGGTCCACGACAGCGGCGCTCACCTGAGCGCGGACGTGTAGGCCGTGGAGAGGACCAGGCCGAGGTACATCCAGGAGCTGATGAAGACGCGCAGCGCCGAGGTGCGCGGCATCGCCACGGCGTGCAGGGGCCGCTCGACGAGCGGCGACAGCACGAGGTGCAGCAGGCCGCGGGTCGTGCGGAGGACCGGGGCCTCGCCGGCGCCGCTGGCGACCACCAGCAGCCTCGCCGCGACCGCCGCCATCAGCACGGCCACTGCGATCGCCGCCCACACGCTGCGATGGAACGGCCCCGTCAACCTGGGGTCAACCACGGTGGCTCATCCAAACAGAACACTCTGATGGTTGTTTCGGAGATGTGCTGGACCCTTAGAATGAGGACAAGTGATGCTTACATGTAATAGGCAGGCTGAGCCCCCTCTGACCCCAACGGCACGGCGAAGGTGACGCACCAGTAAGCGTGGTAGCCGGCGATCTGCCCTTTCTGGTACCTTGTAGGAAACGGCATAGTCAGATTAGTGAGGAATTTATTTTTGCAGACGGGTACTTACGACGAGATGGGAAATGGCAGTCACACCTCATGCCGGCGAACAGTGCCATGTCGCTCAACCCGAGGGCCGCCTCGTACTCCTCCCAGTACCTCAGAGTTCGGTTGACGTAGTTCGGCTTAAACAGCTAGGCCGAGGCGTATTTGAAAAGCGGAAGTCCGAATGTTGGCCGAATGTTCTCCGTCCACAATAATTACCTCGGTGCGGAACCGGAGGGTACTCGCGCACGCCTTCAGAATTTTTTCCCCCACGCCGGAAAGATGCCAGGACTGGTTCACGAAGGTGGCCGTCAGGAAGTTGCTGCCGTTGGCGATGGCCACCCGGAACGGGCAGCCCCCCATCTTGAGGTGCACCAGCTCCTGCACGCCCCCGAACGGGAACAAGTCGGAGATGTTCCTGGCGAAGTTGATCCCCGACTGGACGGTCCAGGTGGCCACCAGCAGTGCGGTGGTGTCGTTGCAACGTTCTGGTGCACGCCAAAGTCAAACCGTGGAACCGCCACGCTCAAGACACAGAGAGACGGCCTTACCCGGCCAGAAAGGGTTGAAGGAGAAGAGCTCGTGCTCTCCGGAGCCCCGCGGCGACGCCGACAGCGCGAGCACGTTGAGGTGCCCCAGCCGCCAGACGGCCGCCATGGTGGCGTCCAGGACGGCGCGGGTCGCCACCACGTCGCCCGTCCACACGAAGAGGAACCGCATGAGGGGCCTGTGCGAGATCACTCTGGCCAGAGACCCTGCGCAGCCCCAACTTCATTATTCTGCTGGGCCGATGCCTCCACCGAGGCCCCGAGCGAGGCCCTTACCCTCTACGACGGGCTGCATACGCGTGTCGAGCCGGCCCAGCAGCACGACGTTGTTGTCGCAGCGCAGCACCATGGGGTCTTCTTGTGGGGGCCCGGGCTCCACCCGGGCCAGGCGCACCGCGTAGGGTCGCTTCATTCGGCGCACCAGCTCCAGGAAGCCGTCCAGGTCGGCCAGGCCCGCGTCGTGGAACACACCGAGGCAGTCCCGGTGCGGCATGGTGGCCAGCACCACCTCGAGCAGCGCGTGCCAGCGTGGTTCCACGGGAGGCCCGCGCGAGGAGGGCAACTTCGGCGCTATCGGCGACAACTGTGAAAATCGCTCTATCGACTTATCACACGGGAAAAAAAATATCTCGGGTTTCAAGCAGCCCTCCAAAACAAAGCGCACTTGGTGGAACTGCGCCGCCGAGATCACCAAGAGTGCGGCGACGAAGAACAAGAGCCAGGTCCTTGCCGTCGTGGACTCAGCAGACCACGGCGACGCGCTCCGGGTCGCACCCATGCTCATGGGGCTCAACAAGAGCAAGGCCTCGATGGAACGTGCAAACGGCAGTCCATTTACTAATACGTAATCGCACTTTCACTCAGCATCGATCCGCGTGCCGTTGAGCTCGATTGTTCAAGTTCGGTCGGTCTTCTGGGTGGAGGGGAGGGGAGACGGTGGCTCGCTTGCCCCGCTGCTGCGGCACGATGGGAAGGGGGTGGTTTAGAAAGGAGTGGGAGTGCACAGGACAGTGCAAGGGCGAAATGCGACCTCGCTGTTGTAGTTTCTATGCAGTGGGAAATTGACAATTTTTATTCTTATGGGGTCGTCTTTCGTGTCGATGGGAAATCAGCTGGAGCCAGAGAGAGAGAGGACGCAGACGCGGCGGGCCGGGCGTGTTGATCCGACGCTCTCCGGCCGACGTGGGGTAGCGACGGTTCAGCGCGGAGCTACTCCCGCTCTAAAGGCTGCACCCAGCGCGGGGTAGAGACTGCGCTGGAGTGGGTGAAGCTGGTGCCGCGCCTGGCGCGGGCATCTTCCGCCGCCACAGCGAGGCTGCGAGGATCTCCACTGTGAAGACGACGGCGATGACGGCCAGGCTGCACGAGTACAGGACGAACAAGGGCAGCATTTGGTTCAGCGTGAGGGGCATCTCTCTCTCGCTCCCGCTGTCGAAGTACTTGTTGTACATGGGAGGCGGCTCCCACTTGTCTTTCTCCAGCCAGTGCGCCGACAGCCCCGACTCGGTTAGCGCCCTCAGCACGCGGCGCAGCGCGAAGGAGTAGGGGGAGCTGGCCCGCAGCAGGAAGGGGTAGGCGTAGAACGAGACCAGACAGTAGTCGGGGTAGATGAACAGACGGCCTGCCGGTCAACGCAAACGACCAAAGTGGATCATCCAAAGGCAGTGATAGTAGTGTGGGTGCAACCCGTAGCTTGCTTTCACCTGGCCCGCTCAGGACGGCACTGATGTTCGCAGCGCGGTCCATGGCCGCGCGCTGCTCCGCCAGCAGCAAGTCCCTGCGCGCCAGGATGGCGTCGCGCGGCTCCGCCACCTGCTCCTGGATCTCCCTGACCGGCGCCGGCCGCGCCCGTCGGGCCAGCTGGACCAGCACGGGTTCTCTGCGCGCCTGGAGAATGTCGAATCCGTACTCGAGGGCCACTGAGAAGCAGAGGGGCTTTGGTCGGGGGGACAACGGGGATCAGGCTGTCGTGTTGCCGCCACAGAGTTTACTGTCTTACACACGGCGAGGTCGGACTTGGCCAGCGCGTCCAGGGTCCACGTCGTGCGCTCGAAGGGTGGCGCGAGCACGATGCTCCTGCCAGCAGAGAATCAGGGACCACAAAGTCGTATCGGATGGACCAGGAAAAGGCGAAAAACAGACTCCGCAGTTGTCGGCACCTGAGCGCGGACGTGTAGGCCGTGGAGAGGACCAAGCCGAGGTACATCCAGGAGCTGATGAAGACGCGCAGCGCCGAGGTGCGCGGCATCACCACGGCGTGCAGGGGCCGCTCGGCGAGCGGCGACAGCACGAGGTGCAGCAGGCCGCGGGTCGTGCGGAGGACCGGGGCCTCGCCGGCGCCACCGGCCACCACCAGCAGCCTGGTCACGACCACCGCCACCAGCACGGCCACCGCGATCGCCGCCCACACGCTGCGATGGAACGGCCCCGTCAACCTGGAGTCCGCGAGCACACCGCGTGGCTTATAGACAAGACACCGGCTGCGGGGTTGCGTGTGGGCTGCACTGTTGGAACTGAAAAGTAGTTCTAGGACTCACACATCGTAGGCCGACACCCCACCAAACCGCATCGGCACGGCGAAGGTGATGCACCAGTTGGTGTAGTAGCTGGAGACCGGCGCCTGACCGTACCTGTAAACGAACAGCGAACGGAAGCAACGCAATGCTGTGATGGAATTCAGTTTTCAAGCTGCTCACGGATGACCGTTGAGCCATGTTGGTAACCTAAGGTCAGCAATTAGCAGTAGGTCGTCCGGTCCGAGAGCAAGTTCCTGCTGCTCCTTTGAGAGTTCCCAGTCTCTGGTGAACAGCTGGTAGTCCTTCAGAGCCGTCAGTTGCAGCTTGCACAGATTGTAAATAGAGTTGATGAACGCCGGTAGACGTTAGAAAGTGCAGACTGCTACAATCCGCAGCAGGTTCACACCTTGGGTTGGAACCGGAGGGTACTCGCGCACGCCTTCAGAATTTGTTCCCCCACGCCGGAAAGATGCCAGGACTGGTTCACGAAGGTGGCCGTCAGGAAGTTGCTGCCGTTGGCGATGGCCACCCGGAACGGGCAGCCCCCCATCTTGAGGTGCACCAGCTCCTGCACGCCCCCGAACGGGAACAAGTCGGAGATGTTCCTGGCGAAGTTGATCCCCGACTGGACGGTCCAGGTGGCCACCAGCAGTGCGGTGGTGTCGTTGCAACGTTCTGGTGCACGCCAAAGTCAAACCGTGGAACCGCCACGCTCAAGACACAGAGAGACGGCCTTACCCGGCCAGAAAGGGTTGAAGGAGAGGAGCTGGTGCTCTCCGGAGCCCCGCGGCGACGCCGTCAGCGCGAGCACGTTGAGGTGCCCCAGCCGCCAGACGGCCGCCATGGTGGCGTCCAGGACGGCGCGGGTCGCCACCACGTCGCCCGTCCACACGAAGAGGAACCGCATGAGCGGCCTGTGCGAGATCACTCTGGCCAGAGACCCTGCGCAGCCCCAACTTCATTAATCTGCTGGGCCGATGCCGATGCCTCCACCGAGGCCCCGAGCGAGGCCCTTACCGTCTACGACGGGCTGCATACGCGTGTCGAGCCGCCCCCGCAGCACGACGTTGTTGTCGCAGCGCAGCACCATGGGGCCTTCTTGTGGGGGCCCGGGCTCCACTCGGGCCAGGCGCACTGCGTAGGGTCGCTTCATTCGGCGCACCAGCTCCAGGAAGCCGTCCAGGTCGGCCAGGCCCGCGTCGTGGAACACGCCGAGGCAGTCCCGGTGCGGCATGGTGGCCTGCACCACCTCGAGCAGCGCGTGCCAGCGTGGTTCCACGGGAGGCCCGCGCGAGGAGGGCAACTTCGGCGCTACCGGCGGCAACTGGGGGGACGTTGCTATTGGCTTATCACACTTCAAATAATACCTGTAAGATTCGCATGGCCCTCCGAAACCGAAACGAAGCGCACTTGGTGGAACTGCGCGGCCGACGTCACTGAGAGTGCCATGACGCCGAGCGACAGCCAGGTCCGTGCCATCCTGGACGTCCTGGACTCCCCGAACCTCGACGACGCGTTCCGGGTCGCATTCATGAGGTTGGCGAAGTGCGTGCCCAGCCTGGCGAGAACAAGGCCTCGATGCAGCGTGCAAACGCCTGTCCACTTCAGAAGTGATTTTTCCAGCCGGCTTCTCCCCGTACGGATCGACCTGTTTGCCTTTCTGCCTCCAGTGTTTGCTCGTGATCGTATGGTAGGGCGGACATTTGAGCGGGGCCTTGCTCTTGTTGCCAAAGATCAATTAATTAAGTAATTTTTTCGGTAAAAATTATATTTATTTTGCTATGTACACGATGTCATTAAAACGATGAAATAGGAACATTTAGAGACTCAAGCTAGGCAGTCCTTCCGATAAAAGTAAAGGGAAACCTTAGTCCATCGAAGAATCATATCGAACCATACACGCAGTGCCGGTGACTTCTTTTACTGACTTTCTGTTACTGACTTCTTTACTTCTATCGAGTTAGAACTTCACATTGAAATAAATTAAGAGAACAGAGGTCCGATTTACGCTCTGGCTAGAGTGGCGATGGCCAGGATGACGATGGACCACGGCGCCAGCAGCCCGGACGCCGAGTTCTTGGGGGTGGTGGCGGGGGCGGGCTTGGGGCTGGTGCCGGGGGCGGGCTTGGGGCTGGTGCCGGGGGCGGGCTTGGCGGTGGAAGTGCGGGGGGCGGGCTGGGTGGTGGGTTTGGTGACGGGGGCGGCGGTGGTGCTGTCCGGAATCTTCACCAAAGGCACCTTCCTCTCCGTCATCATCTTCACGTAGAAGGCGGAGGAGTCCTTGAGCTTGCGGGGCTTCTCGGGCTTAGAGAGGTCGACGCTCACCATGCCCATCATGCGGCTGCAAACGGAAACCGACTTTGAGATTCCCGGTCGTGGCGGTCGCAAGGCTCGGGCCACAGAGAACGGAACCGAGACAAGTCAAAATGCTGCGTTTCTTACTTGGATCCCCACTCGAAGCCGTCCAGCAGACTCCAGGCCGTCATGCCGATGACCTTGCAGCCGTCGTTCCTCACGGCGTCCACCAGCGTGCGAATGTAGTCCTGGAACACAAGACAGCTGGCTCAGCGCGCGATAGCCCGCGCCCCTGGCGCCCGGAGGGTAGGCAGCCCCTCCGACACGGGATGCCCCGCCAGTCAGACAACTTGCTACTTACACTGTGGTAGGCGGCACGGGCGATGTCATGGTCGCCCACCTCCGGCGTGGTGGCGACGCCGTTCTCGGTGACGAAAATGGGCTGGTTGCCGTAGCGCTCCTTCAGCCAGAGGAGCGCGCCGCGGAACGCCCAGGGCATGCTCTGCAAACAGCAAGTCCGCGGTTCAAATCTCGCCCCCGCCGCATGGCAACCGCCACCCGCAAAACAAAGACGATTCATTCGTGTCCCCACCATGCTGAAGCCGGAGGCGAAGCCGGGGCCCGTCACCACGACGTGCGCGTCCCTCCACGGGGAAGTCTCCGCCGCCATCGGGTCGACGCCGCTGATCACGGACCTGCCGTAGTACGCGTTCAGGCCGATGAAGTCGGTGGATCCTGCGAGGAGTGAAAACAAAAATAGGTCAGACTTCTTAAAAGTGGATCTATGGCAGCCTTCACAAAAAAAAAAACTCTATCGTGGTGGTCAGCTTTGTTTGTCAATTGTGGTGGTCACAGCCCCACCCTGTAATGATTTTTGTGATTTGGGATGACGCGGCGTGGAATTTTGTAGAGGCACCTGACAGGTGCTCAGTCAGGAATCTCGCAGATCACGGTTACGGAGCTCAAAATCAGAGTGGAAAATCTCGAGTGCGGGCGAGATAAGCCTTTTCCCGACAAGGCCAAGAGCACCACTTTACGCGATCGCCTGTTGCCGAGGGGGTAAACACTTGTGTAATACCCTGTACACAAAAACCGTGTATTACGCGAAATACACGTAATTGTTATACCATTTTGGGGCAAAATGTGCCAAATTTTGGCATTTTTGCCGTAATACAGTGTAATATCCCCGTAATACAGCGTAATACCGCGTAATACCGAGTATTCTGTACACGATCTCTTGGAGTGTTCACCCCCTCGCCTGTAGCGCAAATCCTTTGCTGTCACCTTTGAGCAGGGCCTGCTCGTCGGCAGTCAGGGGAGGCAGCCGGGACTCCTTGTAGCCCTGGGCCTTGCTGGCCGCGGCCACCATGTCCTTGACGAGGGCCGGGTAGTCGCCGAAGATGATGGGGTCCGCCTGGATGCCCATCTCGAACAGGTTGTAGCGCTCGGCCGCCTGGATGTTCTCGTACTGAGTGTCGGTGGGTGACGCGAAGAAGGTCTCCACTGTCATGCCGATCAGCCCTGTCAACAAATTGCCGCCACTTTAGTTCCCCGCCATTTATTTATTTTTCTTTTGGTCGACTCATGGTGTCTGTGGTTCTGCTCACCATCAGCCCTGTTGAAGTCGGACTTGTACAGACGGTACACCTTGGCGTGGGCCACGAGCTCGTTGTGGATGCACTGGTACTGCTTGATCCCGGGGCTCTTGATGGCGGGGGCGATGGTGGCGCTGTCGTAGACGATGTTGCAGTGCATGTGGGGCTCGTTGAGCGTGACCCAGTACTTGACCTACAGTGGCACGGGAGGGAGATTCTGTTAGACTCAGGCTATGGTTCAACATTGGACGAAGCGGGAAGTTGTGCAGACGTACCCTGTCTCCGAACGTCTTGAAAGCGAACCGGGAGAATTCGACGAAGAGGTCAATCATCTTGGGGCTCGTCCAGCCGCCGAACTGAGTCTCCAGGACTTGAGGGTGGTCGAAGTGGTATAAAGTTATCTTCAGACGCATAGAAAAGCAGAAACAATGAATTATAGATTTTTTTAAAGTAAAAAAAAATGATTGTTTTGAGTTTACGTACGAATGGTTCGATGCCGTTGGCGATCAGCTCGTTGATCAAGTTGTTGTAGTAGTCAACCCCGGCCTGGTTGAGGCTGGCGAGAGTGCCGTCCGGCATGATGCGCGACCACGACAAGGAGAAGCGGTACATCTGCATCTTCAAGGCCTTGACCGCCTTCACGTCCTCCTTGTACTTGTGGTACGAGTCGCAGCCATCGTCGGCGTTCTGGGAACCCTTATTCCTGTTGTGGTAGAAGTAGTCGAACACGCTCTCTCCCTTGCCTATTTGGTGCAGAAACAACGAGTTCAACAATGTCCTGAACGCAACTCGTATTCGCAAACGGTTTGGACTCACCGTCAACGTTCCAGGCTCCTTCCACCTGATACGAGGACGACCCCGTGCCGACAATGAGGTCTTCAGGGAGCGGGTAGTCGTCGTCCGTCTCCAAGAATGCCGTCACGGAGTTGGACTCCGGCGCGGCGATGTGCGCGGCGCGACTCGGGGGCAGCGCCGTCACGGCCAGGACGACGGCCAGGGCGGCCAGCGCGGCCAGGGAGGGCGTCATCTCACGGCAGGAGTCTTGGAAAGCCGACGAAAACACGTCTTTTGTCGCGGCAGGACCTCTGCGGTTAGCTTTCTGTCGATGACCCTGCCTTGCCCTGCCGACGACTGAACGGTAGGACGACAGCCCGTGGCTATATGTGGATCCGATTCATCCTAGCCACTCGAGGGCGATAAAGAAAATGACTGTGAAGGTTGGTGAGATAGGAACACAAGCCTCGAGTGTGTGTCACAAAGTGTAGGCAAGTTTTTACTATCGCCTCAATGTGGACAGTCATTCTAAATGTGTTCTCAATCAAGGGTGCTCATCCGCGATTCGGTTCAAAAATACGCGGGTCAAACTGCTAAATTTGTCATACTGACGTCTTTTCAAAACGCCAACATATTTATATGTGAGGTCGGTCAATATTCTATTTATTTTTTACGGTACTTTCAGTTGGTCTTCAAGTGCCTTGAATTTATCCTGATGTTCTGCCCGCGTCAATATCTAAAAATCTAGGTTTGTTTCAACATTTAATTATTTTGTGGTTGGTGGGTCCGATTCGGTTTAAAAACGTAAACAAACCAAGAAATGGCTTCCGTGGTACGAACGTAGCCCTACCGTCGATTTTATTTTTGTTTTGTTTCATATTTTCTATTCCGTACTTTTAAGGCCTGTTACAATGAGTTCATCTGACACTCCCACACTTTCTTGTACTCTCCAAATCGAGTGGATGAACAGTCAACAGATGACAACGCGGAAGGTTAACTTCAAGAACGGCCTCCTGCGCATGGTTCGGAATGGCTTTAGAGAAATTTTCCTCGAGATTTCTGACGAGAAGACCGCCAGGCATAAGTTCCACCTAAAGAACATGATTGTTCACAAGAAGTTTATGAATGAAGGAAAGTGCACAATAAACTTCAAAGACGACAACGCCCGAACTATGATGTCTAATGCTCCCCCTGCTCAACTAGTCAACTTTCTCAAAACTATGTACATCAAACTGCAAGGTGAAACGGGTGGCAAAGTGAGTCTAAAGGAGAGACTGGAAGGCAAATCTGCCATGGAAGAAATTAGTCCCTTGACTACTAAAGAAGTACTCAGAGCCAGAGATAAGGTTGTGCCCAAGGACACCAGCACAACTCCTAAAACCACCATGAACAAAAAGCGTCCTGTGAAAGAAAATGACAAAGCTCAAGCAGGGCATCCTCCATCAAAGCGGAGATGTATTGCATCTGCCATTGAAACACCACTTACTGCGGAACAGGAAAGGGTCCTCAATGCCGTTGTTTCCGGTAGAAATATATTTTTTACAGGTACACATTCTGCTCTTGTAGATATTGAGTCAACCTCCTGCGTCTCTTACAAATCTTGTGTCTACTACAACATTTTATTATTTTTTTTTACCACAGGCTCTGCTGGAACTGGTAAATCATTCCTTTTGAAAAAGATTATATCCTCTTTGCCTCCGGATTCAACTTTTCCAACTGCAAGCACAGGAGTTGCTGCCTGCCACATAGGAGGCTACACCCTCCATTCATTTGCAGGTATGTATCACCACCAGAATGGCTCAGCTCAATTGAAGTATTTCGTATCGTATGTTTTAAATGAATCTGTTCTTTTTTTGGTTCAGGTGTCGGCACTGGCCAAGGTAGTTTGAAGCGTTTAGTGGAATTGGCGAGGAGACCTCATGTTGCCCAGCAATGGCGCAAATGCAAAGTTCTTATTATTGATGAAATTAGTATGGTGGATGGAAGATTCTTTGATGTAAGTATTGAAATGAATGAGTTTTAAAAAAATCCAAAGAGCACTCATTTGTGAAAACAAAATTTCCTTTCTGTCCAGAAACTAGAATATGTTGCCCGAGAAGTAAGGTGTAACGATAAGCCATTTGGAGGTATTCAGCTGGTGTTGTGTGGAGACTTCTTTCAACTACCTCCCGTCGGGAGATCTAATAGCAGTGGAGATGAGGGCCAAGCCACTTTCTGCTTTCAAAGCGAAGCCTGGGACCGATGCAATCTGAACTGCTATGAGCTGACAGTGGTGCACAGACAAAGTGACCCCGTATTCATTGACATACTTCAAAACATCCGTATTGGCAGGTAAATCGCAATAGTTTTGTTATGAAAGTAATGTTCTCTGATGAAAGTTGAGAGCAGATAATCTATTTTTGTTTTTGTACCATGCAATGCAGGATCACTCCAGAGATAGTTGATCGTTTGCAAGCCACCATAAATAACAAAGTAGATTCTGCAGGGATTCTAGCCTCCCGACTGTGCAGTTTAACTAAAGAGTCACAACTTATTAACACCTCTAAACTTGAAAATTTGTCAGGTGAGTTTGTTAAGATCTGACCTAAAAAAATGATGACACATTACTAATCAAAATATATAATGCTTCAAATCAGGTACTGAGAAGGAGTTTAAGGCTATTGACAGTGATTCAACACTAAGCAACATGTTGGATATCCAAACACCAGTTGAAAGCTTGATAAAACTTAAAGTTGGGTCACAAGTGATGCTGATGAAAAACATCACACTTAATGATGGCTTAGTAAACGGTGCTCGTGGGGTGGTTGTGAAATTCTCAGAAGGTAAAAATAGATTGCATAGTCTTTTAATTGAAGACAACCCTCATACTTTTCTGAAATGGCTTTTTTGTTTCCTTCAGGTTTGCCTGTTGTGAAATTCCGCTCTGGGGAATATACCGTTAAGTATGAAAAGTGGACTGTGAAGCTGATGGGAGGGACCACATTAACTAGAAAACAACTCCCCTTGAAATTGGCTTGGGCGTTTTCAATCCACAAATCTCAGGTAATGCCTTGATGTATTCAAAGGTAGTTGCACTTCAAATCATTGAAAATATTTGTCTCAACTCTTTTTCTTTTTCAGGGACTCACACTGGACTGTGTTGAAATGTCACTAGCAAAGGTATTTGAAGCTGGCCAGGCATATGTTGCCCTGTCGAGGGCTAAAAGTCTTGCAACTCTAAGAGTTCTAGACTTTGATCCAAAACAAGTGTGGGCTAACCCTGATGTTCTTAAATTTTACCAGCGGTTTAGGCAAAACCTTGCTGCATTAGAATTGATTCCTTTAGGTAGGAAGAAAAGTGATTTGTCTAGGAAGCCAGGGCCTTTTATATGAAGTTTCTTAATTTTCTTGCACAAATAGTTAATTCTATGACTGATTATTGAGAAATGCTTGAGAAGTGTCATAAATCTGGATCTATGTAAACTAGAATCCAACGTCATGAACATGAAATGATTGTTTGGACATTTTACCTTTAATAGATCCATTTTCTTTTACTGTACTTTATTTATATCAAACATGATCTATATTGTGATTATATTTGCATGTCTAATAAATGCTGATAGTCAGGTGAGGTAGATCAGCTTATTTTGAGAATGTGTGCTGAGGTAACTGTTGTATATGCACCAGCCTTGGGCTAAAGATCTAGGTCTATCAGCATTGATGATACTGTTGCGAAAAAGACTCCCCACGTTCACATGGGGAGTCTTGTTCGCATCAGCTGCTGGTGTATATAGTTATAGCCGTGATCTAATACAAATTTGTAGGAAATGTCGTTCAGCATTAATAAAAGAATTTTAATTGTTACAAAAAAGGAAGGTTTTTGTTTTTACTTTGCACACTTTAATAGCTTTACTTATGTTTATTTTTGATCTCCACATATATTGACAGCTCTGAACACATAAATATACCACATTATAGTTTAATTTAAAACATATCTAAAATCAATAAATATGAACAATAAGGATATAAATAATCAATTTAGTGCTTTGCACCATAACAAGCAATGTATAGTTAAATACTGATTTTGGTCTAATTATTAATATAGTTAGTCAACCTTGGATTAGAAAAGATCATCACATGAATGAATGATTCTTGTTTCTATGCTTTTGTGTTGGGCAACAGCACATCGAGTTAGAGTCTAATAATTATTTGGCAATAAAAATACACTAAATGAATTTATTGGCCCTATAAGCGCATTTGGTGACGAAAACTTTCCAAATAGCACCTGAGGGAAGTACTGCTGCAAATGATATGGGAATTGTTATTCCTAATTATTCTGAAGTATTGTGTCTTTCCAACATTACAAAGTCAACTATTATCACTTAGCTCATTCGAGCTCTCTTAAACTAGACAAAGATCAGTCAAACTCTAAGCTAAACAACTAAACTACATTATGTGATGTGAGATATGAATCAGTCACACAACATTTACCGGATTACTGTGGCATCAAGACTCGACTCCTGCTGATGGCACAATGTTGTGGCGTTTAGAGCTCTGGAACCATTTAAGGTTGCTGCGGTACTCTTAAAATGACTTTATCAAAATCCGGTCTTGTCGAAATTTTTTGAGGGATTTGCTCCCAAGATGAATTAATTTTCATCCCTGTGAGATCTTTTAATCGACGAGTCCAATATCTTAAATCCTTCAAAGTGTTCCTTCCTCTAAAAAAAAGAACAAAAGCCGAACAAACGACAAACTCATTGTTTTTTTGCTCTACTTTTTTGACAGCAGTTTGGTCAGTGAGGTGAAAACAGACAAAATCAAATAATACATAAATAAATGAAAGTGAAAGGTGTCACTGCTCCAACAAAATGTGAGAAAATGAATCGGCGTGGGTTCAAATACCACCTTTGGAAAAGCCTGTTTGCTCCTCATTCATCGTTAAAACCGGGACTGCATATGTCCACCTCCTAAGAATTTGGTCGCTGCGCGGCAGGGTGGTGACACCCGTCTGAAAGATGATTCTTTCTGCTCGCCTTGAACACCTTGAACGTTGAGCACGCACTCCGGGCCCTACCCTCCGCTGCTCGCCTGCAGGCGGTACCAGTCGTTGACGGGGGCGGCGGCGGGGCTAGGCCGCGACCGCCGTGACCCGTAGGCGGGGGCGGCGGCGGCGCGCAGCACGGGGGTGCGGGGGCTCCGCGAGGTGAAGCGGAACTCCGCCGGCAGGTCGTAGCATCTGCAGATGCAGCACGACGGGAACTTGAACCAGTCGGAGAAGATGCCCCGGCACTCGTTGTTGGGGTCGTACGCCAGCAGGCGGTGCAGGCGGTACTGCTGCTCGCAGCGGCACCCTTCCCTGCAGAACATTTGCTTGTGTTCGTGCCTGCGGACAAGGAGGGCCAAATTTTGAATGGGTGCAGGATGATTCAGAGTCTCGAATGAATGAAACAGGTGTTTCCATGGAAGGAAGGGGGCAGACCCAACGAGCCCCTTTCCTGTCGAGTTTTTCGTTCGGCTCATTTCTGCTTTGTTTTTACAGAATGGCCTGGTCCAAGGCCTTTTTCTAGGCCCCGGGCAGCCTTTCAGCCGGTCTGCACGCAGCACCCGCGTGTCGCCTTGATTCACTACCGTCATCGCGCGAGTTCCTTGTCTCTTATCTCGCCAGAACGAGGGGCAATGACGGGCAGCCTCGAGCGAGCGAGCTCTCCTAGCTGTCTGAACTTCTGCCAGTTTGGCTTGCTCATCGAATGACGCAAGGAAATCCAAGGAAATCGTCCCGCGTCAAACGGAAGTTAATTTTGGCCGAGAATGCTCCGCTTTCCTATCGCTGGCGCACCTGGGCACTGGCGACGGGGCAGGCCGTGTCGCCGCTTCGCTGGGAGCGCGCAAAAGTGACCTTCGTCTCTGCAACTTACGTGCACTTCTCCCAGTGGACGTACTGCTCGAAGGGGTACAGGTTGAGCAGGGCCAGCACCTCCCCGCGGGTGTTGTTGGCCCAGAAGGGCGCCACCACCTCTTCCTTGACGGGACACGCGTTCCTGCAAGACCACTCGTTAGGGGGCGTCCATTCGTCACGCTCGTCACCTCGCTCGTCACGCTGGCTGCATCCGAACCGGCTAGCTCCGTCTCTTTCCCTCTCGTGGGCCTCTCATAGGATTGAGTGAGACAGAGCTACATGATTCGGACTCAGCCAGCGCAACCAACGTTGCACACGTAGCAGAAACGATAAACAGGAACAAAAACAAAAATGATTCGAAAAGGAGCTTACACGCCGCGGAGCTTGATGAGCGGCGTGGCCGGCTTGCTGGGCTGCTGCGCCGCGTCCGGCCCGGGCAGGTGGTCGGCGTCCTGGAAGAGCGTCTCCTGCACCGAAGACGCGGGCCCCGAGGCCTCGCCGTCGCCATCGCCGTCCGCGTCGCCGTCCGGCTCGTCGGCGACGTTGTCCTCCACGTCGGCCAGCTGCACGCGCCGCAGCGCGAGGTCCCGCACGGATAACAGAGTCACGTCAGTACAGTGCGGGGCAAAGGCCAACGGTCGCACGAGTGGTTTCCATGGAAACGGCCTTACCTCCTCATCGGGCAGCTCCGTGCTCGTCGAGGTGGAGGCCGAGGTCGTCGTCGAGGACGTGGTGGACGCCGCGCTGGGGCTGGGGCTGGGCATGGAGCTCGACATGGTCGTCATGGTGGTCTCCTCGGTGGCCCAGTCCTCCACGGTCGTGTCCGCCGAGGTGGAGGGCGTCGTGGGCGAGGTGGCAGGCGAGGTCGCCGTCGACGCGAATGACGAGCTCGACGGCGGCCGAGGAGAGGTACTGCGTCAAATAATCTATTCAGTCTGTATAATCTATTCAGTCTGTATAATCTATTCAGTCTGTCGAGTCCATTGAGTGCGTCACGCAAACACTCAGTAACCTCTCGCAAAAACTCGTACCTGGTCAGGATCGACGCGTTGACGAGGTGGGGGTGGACCCTGCCGTTGTACAGTCCCAGCGGCTCGGACAGCGGCGTGGACGTCGCGGGGGTGCCCGTCGTGGTGGCGGCCGCGGAGGTCGTCGTGGAGGTCGATGTGGTGGTGGACGGGGTTGTGGAGGAGGTGGTCGTCGAGGAGGCCGTGGTCGGCGAGGTGGAGGCCGTGCTCGGGGAGCTCGTGGTCGTGGTCGTGGTGGTCCGGGGCTCAGGTGGCGGCGGCGGCGGCTGCTGGTGGTTCCGGTTGGCGGGCCGGAAGTGCGGCTTGGCCGAGTAGCGGCGCTTCACGTCATCCTCCAGGTGCCAGCCCGGGTCGCGCACCAGCTCCACGTCGTTGGACTCGATCTCGGCGCGCAGCACGGAAATGTGGCGCTCGTCTCCGTACATGCGGCGCATCAGGCCGTGGTTCTCGTGGACGAAGCGCCGCACCGCGTGCCTGGAGCAGGCCAGCAAGTCAAGCGGGCAGGCCAAACAGAAGCACAAGTTTGAATGAAGTGAACGGCTGGACTCACCAGGGGTACGCCGAGCCGGGCACAGTGCACCAGGACTGCTCGTGGAAGTTGCAAGGGAGCTGCACGTGGTGTCGGAAGCTGCGGTACTGCTTGGGGCAGGCCGAGTAGCCGTCGTAGGCGCGCGTCGACAGCCACAGCACCGCCGCCTGGAACAGCAGCAGCACAGTCAGCAGATACTCCGCGTCGCGGCGCGCGCTAGCCGGTCTTCCCGCCAAAAGGCCGGCCGGCGATACCCCGCGCTCCCCGCCGGGCCGCCGGTCCCGGGGCCACCCTACGCGTAGGAATGCCACTTTCATCGCGCCCTCCATGGCCTCTGTGGCCTCCATGGCGTTCGCGGGGCGCCGACTGCCGGGTGCCCAGGAAAGCAGAAAACAGCGGGCGCAGAACGGCGTGGTGGGCATCGCAATCGCTAGCAATCGCCTGCGAGGTAGGCAATGCGCACGTTGGCGTGGCGTGGGGTTGCCTACCCCGGACTTCACAGGCGCTCGCGAGCGCACTCCCCGCGGCACTCTCGCCTTGGCCGCTTAATCCATCCTTGACACTGAGTCGTGCTGAGCCCAGAAACAGGCCGGGGCGACAGAGCGGTGCACAGACGGGCTAACTCGGGACGGACGTTTGACCCACTAGTCCTGAGCAGGGGGGCTGGCTAAGCTTCTGGAGCCACGCGACCGGCCGACAGACACCTCTGAAAGTGAAACGGTTTCGGAGGTGAGAGGAAAAAGGTGCCACAAATAATGAGATAACCCGGTGGGGCGTGAGCGGTGCGGGGTGGGGCCGGGTGGGGCCCCTCGCTCCAGTCAGGCTGTGCCTTCGGGCCCCCGTGCCCTTCACGGGCCCTTCAAGGGCTCACATATTGTGTGGCCCTCGATCCCTTTCACTTTCCCGTCCCTTTCCACCCTGTGTTATTGTTATTGTTGGTGATGACGGTGTTGTTGTTGAGCTGCAGCGCGGCGCGTGTCACGCGGCGCATTACGGCTGCAGTTAACATGCGCTTATGCTACCGGGCGACCCTCATATCGGGACTTTCCTTTTCCACACACACACACACACACACACACACACACACACACACACACATACACACACGGTGATCCCCACCCCCGCACTGGTCCCACATTCCACGCTCACGTTACTTTCACTGTCCGGTACCGCAATGTCCACACGCGTGACAGCCCCCCCCCCCTTTCTTTTTCCGCTCTTCGGACCCCCGCACCCAATTCCCTGAGGCATAATCTTTGTTGGGATTGTCCTCACCCGCTTCGGGTCGTCCAGGAAGCTCACTGTCCCGTCAGCCGCGCTCCCCCCTTTTTTCCGTGGCCTCTGTGGACTCCGTGGCCTGTGGACTCCGCGGCCTCCGTGCTCCGCTTGGCCTCGCGTGGCCTCGCGTGGCCGCGGCCGCGGATCGCTGGGGGCTGGGGTTCTGATTAGTGGCGACACCATTCGTGGCTGGAAAGTAGGGAACGTGTGTGGAATCTCTCACTGTTTTTATTTTCTTCCACGGTTTTTTTAGGATAGATTTGCGCGGTGTGAGTTCCGATCACCGCGCGGTTGATTCTGGGTAGCGCCAGAGTACTACACACATGTGCTCGATTGGTAAGGCGGTCGTGTGTGTGTGTTTTTGAGTGGGTGTGCCAGGTGTGTGGCATCGAGGGCCGCAGTGCTGTCCAAGTGTCGAGGCTGCACGGTGGTGCGGCCTCTCGGAAGCCCTGTCCTGCCAGCCCTGCCAGCTTCGCCTACGAGTCAGCTGGCTGACCCAGGCCGACCCTCCCAGGCCTTGCCCAGTCTTGGCGCGCTCTGGCTGCCCGCGGCATGGCAGGGCATGGCTAGCCCCGTCGGACGGGTCGGCCTGGGTCGGCCCGGCCGCCGTCGCCGCCGTCCCAACGGGTAGTACTGCCCGGCCGGCGTCCCAACGGCGAGCGGCAGGTCGAGCAGACGCCCCACGCCCCGCGGTGTGCGCGGGCTGCGTCCGCGGCGCCGTCGCCGTGTTTGGGTGGACTGCTTCGGGCCCTGCCGCCGCGCGGCCCCTCCAGACGCCACCCAGTAGTTGTTGCACCTCGGGTCCCGCTGCTGCGTGCTGCTGCATGCCGCCGACAGAACCCGTCTTTCCCGGAGCGCGGCGCTGGCGGCGCTGCTCGCCCATTCATAAAGGTCCAGAGTCACCCACTCGACGGAGGGTCCCCGCGACATTAAAGGCTCCGCCAGTCTGCCCCATGACGACGAGATAGCACAGATCACCACTCCAAATAATGTGCACTCTGTCAGCGCCGAGTGGAACATCACGTTATACATTTCATTACAAAGAGTGGCTTAAGGAGAAGAGACAAGTCTCGCGCACCTGTTCCTTATTCCCAGAGCTCTGCAGAGGAGCCTTACAGTGTCGCGTAGTCTTGCGTCACGCCGAGCGCGGCCAACAGTGTTTGGGAGCGCGTGAAAGTAAAAATGGCCCGACCGGCGATGTGTCATGTCGTGTGCGAAAGTTCGGTTTGCCGGCCCGGCCCGGTCTGACACTTTCTATTTACCCGAACTCGGCCATTTTTAGCCACAAGAGTAATCATTGTTTGGGTCGCCCAGGTCGCCCCGCCCAGGACCATAACACCACTTTCCCCTGTTGATGTTTTGGACCCCAACTCTCACACACACACACTCACACACACACACAGGCACGCTGGAACACTGCTGATTCAGTTTAGTCACTCACTCATTCACCCTCTCTCTCACACACACACACACACACACACACACACAATCACACACACACACAAACAAAAACCTAGAGTGTTGGGCTGGGCGGCACCCTGTTGGTGTGATATTGGTGAGACCTCAAGGACGATGCCTCTGGACGTGATGGAGTGAAATGGAAAGTGACGGCTCGCATGCATAGCGATGCATACATAGGCGGCCGCGGTGCGTGTCGTGGAACGCATAGCGAGACACCACGGAAACGAACACACATTTGTTTTTATTTATTTTTTCCTCGGGCGATGTACGAGCGCGCCTCGTCGAAACGCAACTTTCGGGACGCCTCGATCGCCTGGCAGAGCGCGCCGTGCTTCGTGCGACACTCGGGGACACCTGTCCGCCGGCAGCGAGTTTCCCTGCACTTGGCCGTCGACTCGGGACTTGGCTGCGGCTCGGCTTGTTCACAGTGTCGTGGTGCCGTCCGCGCAGTCTGGGTCCATCAGAACGAATATTGTGTCATCCAGACGGGGGAGGGCGGGGCTGCGCGGCACGGCACGGTGTGGCACGGTGTGGCACGCCCGAAGCGGGTCAGTGTGCCGACTCACCAGCCACCGGCCCTGGGCGTGGCGGGGCGGGGCGGGGCGTGGCGGGGAGGGGGGCGTGCGACCGACAATTCTCTATCGCGGCCCACGCGCGGCGTGAGGCGCGTCCCCGCCGTTCGATGGCTCCAACTGACTTACACTTTTCTTTTCGTTCGGTTGCATCCTCAGTGATGGCCACGGCGTGGCCACGGCCGGGTGCGGTAAGACGACGACGCGGCCCCGCCCGGACCGTCTTCATTTTTATGTTTCCTTTTCTTTTCCTGCAAAATTTTCTGTTTCTTCGTTTTTGCTCCTGTTCTGTCCTTTTTGGGACGGGGGATGGTTCGGTTCGGAAACGAGTTTCGAGGCTCGTTTTGTGCGTCGTTTCCCTCGAGGCACTGCAGGCTGCTGCAGGCCGCTGCAGGTGTCCTCGCGGAAAGAGAGTAATTTAAGCCCGCGGCTCCGAGAAACGCGTCGCGCTTCTGCGTCCGGCGCGCAAGCGGCGCAAGCACGCCGCACCTGTCGCGACTCACTTCTGGGGAACGCGGGGAACGCCCGGCACTTCCAGGCCCTTCCAGGCCCTCAGCCTGCGCGGCGCTGCAGCGACCCAACAGCCCCACTGGTAGCCACGCGCCGTGGCAGTGAAATTCGGTTAAAAATAGCGTTTCCACCTGCCAAGCGTCCAGCTCGTGTCCGCCAGTAACGGTAATAACAATCCCAAATCTGCCTCGCGTCGCGGGCCATCAGGTGCGCCTGCACTGCGGCCCGCCAAGGCCCGCCAAGGCCCCGCGCTCCCGGCGGCAGTCGGCATGGGAACTGGAGCAGCGCGTGAACCGCGAACCGCGCGCGGCCCGGGGAGGCGTGCGTGCACTCACATGAGCTGCTCAGTGTGTGCGAATGCAACACTGCGACTCGGCCAGGGCGCTGACTTTGAAGCACACCGCACTGGTAGTGGACTGGCAGTGTACGGGCCCATTATCATCAGCTCTGTCAGCCCACTCCCTAATAGAGGCAGAGTGCAGCCATTAGCCTTGTTCCCTGATCCTCGTTAGAGACTTCAACGCACGCGCCTGTCAACTACCGAGGCGCGAGGCTGCGCGAGGCCCCATTGCTCTGATAAGGAACCCGCGGGACCGGACCGGACAAGCGGAGAGGGATTTTCTTTCACCGACGAGCAAAAGAAGAAGAGGAAATAAAGAAGGAAATGGACTGAGCAGGACTTCCCGGGACTTCCCAGGAGCTCCTCGTGTCCTTTGGAATCACACTTTTTGTGAGGTTTTGATGTCAGTCAAAGCACCCATTATGGAACCTTAGGGAGTGACTTTGACTTCGTTGGTCGTCCCTTCTTACCGAAATGGCACAGGTAATCCAAATACTGGTCATGGCGATCGATGGTCAGTCGTCTTGCTCACACTCGCTTCCATGCACGCACTGAATGTCACGCACGGACGCACACACTGACCGGTCCTCGCACACACACACTCGCGCGCACTGACACTGCCGCACGCACGCTGACACACACACACACGTCACGCGCACTGGAGGACGCTGCTGCTCGCTGCGTCGCATGATATGGGCCAGCCACCTCCGTCCGCACCGCTCAACAGCATGCCGTCGACTGACCGGGGCCCCCATGCCCCCCAGTGCCCCCGGGCCCCTCCTCCATCCCCCCCCTCTGGGCCACACACACGTACACTCACGCACGCGCGCGCGTGCAGTCCCCCTTCTCTCGTCCGCACCTGCGATTTTCTTTCTCATTTCTCTTCGACACTCTCCTCGGCCGTGGCATTGGCAGTGAGAGAGAGGTTTGAGGGGGGAGGGATGCTCGCGGCCCCCTCCACCGCCTTTGTCTTCCTTCCCGGTACGGACTCGGCTTTTCGTTTTCTCGCCTCGGGTGTCATGCGGGCAAATAGACGCGTCGCTCGGGGCGCGGCCGACGAGCAGCAGCAGGCGAGGAAGTACACAAAGTACTCCAGTACAGCACGCCGCGCCTAGCCGCGCCGCCACGGCCTTACGCCACAGCGACTCGCTATTGTTTGGCTGCATCTCCGCTCCGAAGCAGAGCAGAAGCAAGGTCCAAGCCCGCCGGGCCGACGCCGCGCCACTGCTTTGCGATTCCGGGGAGTCCCCGGAAGCACGCGCGCTGTGCGCTGGCCGCCGCCCGGCCGCAGAGCACCGCGACGTCGCCGACGCACCGCCACCGCGGCCAGACGCGACGCGAACGCGATCGGCCGTCTCCTTTTTTCCGCATTACGGCGAGAAAAAGTGTACTGCCGCAACAACTGGGTCAGTAAGCAGCCCGAGCCCCGCGCTGCCCCGCGCCAGTCACTGGTCGGCCGGCGCGGGAGGGGAGGGGGAGGGGCTCACACGGAGAAAGGCCCATCAGCCAGCAGGCAGAAGAAGAGAGACGTAGACGGGGCGCTTGCAGGAGAGGAGCTGGCGGCCGGCCTGTGGACTGATTCCGAGAGTCGTTTTCGTCGGTCTGTCTCCCTCGCACCCGTACGGGACGCCCCACGAGTGCGAGAGAGACAGAGCGACGGAAACGACTCTCGGAATCAGTCTGCTGGTGGCTTGGCCGCCTGGCGGCTTGGCTGCCTGGCGGGGAGGGAGCGAGAACCGTTACTCCGAGGTGGCCGCCGATGTCCGTTGGCACGGCGGCGCGGTGGCACGGCCATTCGCCAACGCCGCGCGCCTCGCCGTCAGGACGCCCAGGAGTCGCGGTGGCAGACGGCGGCGTCGTCGGCAAGGTGCACGTGCGGCCGGCAGCCCGGCCGGAGTCACCCTTCTGGATTCCAGTTACAATGTTGCCGGTCAGTCGTGTTTGTGTGTACGGCACTGGCAGTTGTAAGAAACGATCGCCGCTACTCCACGTCGCGAGAGACTCTCCATGTTAAGGCCGTGAACGAACAACGAGCAGAGCCCACGGGGTATCGACAGCGGCATTCCCCATGTATGGTGCGGCGTGAATCTTGCAGCCGGCGATTGGCGCAATGGGCCGCGGCGATACCCCGTGGCGGTGGAGTGCCGCAGTCGCGGGGTAGCGCCAACGGCGCTTTGAGTGGCCACCTGTTGGGCGCGCGCTCCTAGATGGCGCCACCGGTCACGGTGTCGGCACCCGGCGCGCTCGTCTGGGGAAGTCCGCGACAGGGCTACGACAGGGGACGAGACAGGGGAATCATGAATGAAGGAAGGCTTGAAAAATAATGCATCGTTGAGGGTTTTACTGCATGTATCACAGCTAAATTGAAACAACATTTTCACTTGTGCAGTAGTTAATATATGCATCTGTACAGACTATGTATCCGTGCAGAGTTACACTTTTCTTCTTTCATCATCGCGTTCCGCCCAGCACGTAACCTATTTCCTCCACAATCTTCGCTAACACAAAAGAAGCTAAAACAGCAAACATTAAGATAAAGATAAGTATTAGCAATAAAAGTCCTATAAGCGTGTCATTACCTAACTAAGACATCTTTGGAGCTCCATACTAGTTCGTAACTAGTACGTCAAGGAAGGGAGGCACTTCTGCTACTTACTTTGCCCAATTTCGGTAAAAATAAATCAAAATCAAACCAAAAAATTAACGAAGTAGCATTGTAAATAATGGACGGCCCATCAGTGCAGACGTGAGCGAAACTGCATAGACGCTTTATTTCGGAAAGTTCAGTCCACACCCCCGAAACTCGTAAAACTAACTCCCTACTTCCCTCCCTGACCAGAGGGCCTTCAGCAGGAGGCGGGCTTCTAGATAGGCGCAGGAAAACACAGAACCAGGCGGGTAGAGTAGCGTAATTGTCCTATAACAGTTATTTTGCAGGGGCTGCAGGATCCTGCGAATCTTCTCACTTACAAGGTAATATTTACAAAGGAGCCACTTCGCTTCAAAAAGCTTACCTCACTCTTACATTACCCTAATAACACAACACTCACATTCACTATCCAACGGGGGCCGAAAAAAACAAGAGTCAATATCATTCAATTCAAAAACAACAACACTTCGTCCTATGTACACGTGAAAATACTCCCCCGAATCTGTCAACACTTTGCACAAATTAGTCTATATTGGCGCCACCACTAGCATACTGCACGAGATATGTAAACATGGACTGGTTGGGCAGCGCCGCGCCCTGCGCGCACTGCGGGGCCGCCAGGGCGTGCCGCGCGTGCCAGGCGACGAAGGGGCGAGGTTGTCCCGGCCCGCACCACCAACCCGTCGCCGGCCACCGAAACACGCAACGTCCTGGCGGCGGTTCAGCCCCAGGGCCTCCACCGGGGCGCTCAGCAGCGAGCAGCGAGGTGCAGCAGGGCCAGCAGCACCAAGCCGAGGCCTCTGGCGCGCGGTGACGTCGACGAGGCCGTGGCTGAGGACGCGGAGCTGGCCGGCCGGGCCGCGCCGCGCGTCGAAGCCTCCCGCGAGTTCTTGCTGCTGCTGACGCTGTTCTCCGGCACCTCGGCGCCTTTCCGCCGCTTTTCTGGAGAGAGCGAGAGAGAGAGAAAGAGTGAGAATGAGACGCGAATGAGAGGGAACCGTAGTGGGTGGGTGGCGTCACCGCGGCGCGGACGCGCGGCCTCACCTTGCCTGCCGTCCGGGAGGTCCTTGTCGGTGTGGGAACCTTTTCTGCGATCCGCAGGTGGCGTGGCTTGTCGCGGCGGCGGCGCTGTGGACAAGTGAGAAAGAACGCGTCAAACACGTTCGGAGAGAGCATGAAGCTAGTGGTATCGCGAGCGTTGGGGAGCAGCTTACTCGTGGTCGTGGTGGTGGTCGTCGTCGTCGTGGTAGTCGTCGTCGTGGTGGTGGGCGGGGGCACGGTGGTTGTAGGTTTTATCTCTGAGAACATGAACAGGAAAAAGGTAACATGGGACCGCTTTTTCGTCTGCAAGCAGTTTAACTTACCGTACAGACGGACCACCCCCTCCGCGAGGCCTTTCGGGTTCTTGGCGAAACATTTGTACGTGCCGTAGTCCTCTTTCCTGACTCGCGTGATGTTCAGCGTCAGAACCACTCGGTTCTCCTTGGCGGTGTTTTCCAAAACTTGCTGACTAACTGAAAAAAAAATAGCACGAAAAACACCACGTTATTTTCTCACCTGACAAAAAAAACACACAAAATGTTTCGCAGGAAGCGCCGAAATCGCTAGTCAACGAAGGCACGAGTAGCGAGAGACAGAAAAAAGTCACACATCCTTGAGGCGATCTGTTACGCCCGACAGCTTGTCAAACGCGTCTACATAACTCATGTTGCACGCACGGCCCGGCCAGCCGCGGGGTGCCGAGCCAAACTTTGGCGTTTCCCGGGGACCCACCGGAAAACTTGTCCAACGGGTTTCTTTAAAGTGGAGCGCAGCCCCGTTTTTCTTGCCTTGTTTTTGTTTTGACTTACAGCTCGTGTTGTTCGGCAGGGTCCAGTAGCCCACCGGCTTGGGGAAGGCGTCCACCAGGCAATCCAGGGTGGCGTGGTCGCCCACGACCGCCGGCACGGAAGCCTTGGCCACGGTCACGATGGGGGCGACTGGAACGCAAAGAGAACGGCTGAAAAAAAAGGCTTTCAATCGGAACACACCGAAAGAGGAAACTTCGCTTACAGTTGACTTTGAGCATGATCCGCTTGCTGACGGTGGGTGGCACGCCATTGGACGCGATGCAGAGGTACGCCCCCATGTGGTGGCGAGTGGCGTTGGTGATGTTGAGCCGGCCGCCGTCCACCTGTTTCACTGCGCGCAAGAAAGGACAAAACAAACATTAATCCGGTGACGCGGGTTCGACTCCCGCCCTTGGCGCCGCCCTTTTCCGATGAGTTTGCCACGTTGCTGCCTCCCCCTTCCCCCTTTCGTTAATTACGCCCTGCTGCCGTAATAAAACTTGCCGACGCCTCGCGCGCCTTCAAGAAGTGGGTGTAGCAGTTCCCAGACGGCCGGGTTGGCTAGGCCACGGGCACAGGCAGGGTTGACGACGGGGCGTGAGTTGGGTTGCCTACCCTGCGTTCCGCGGGCGTACAGGGTGCCGCACGCACGGTGGCGGCGTGGTGGGGCCGGGCGGCAACCCTAATGCACGATAGGATCTGCCAGCAAAATCATCGACACATCGATAATCCATTTCCCCCTCATCAGTGCCGGGCGGCACTACGTCTTGTCGCCGGCAAACATTTCGCCATTCACGCAATCCTTGGAATGTGTCTCCACCCGCTCCGCCCCGCCCCCAGTCGTACCAGATACAACCAAAAAAGATTTGTTGACTGCGGCGGCGAGATTTGAAGGTCTGCGAACAGCAGAGAGAATGTCCCACTGCGGGGCCCGGCGGCGGGGCGGGGCTCGGGGGCCGAGCCATGCCAAAGTTTTATCTCGCTGAAAGATGTCGGGGGCCCCCAGTCCCCAGCCGTCGTCGTCTCAGTTGTCTTGCCAGACAGCAGGCCGCAAGACAACGCCGAGAACACCATCAACAACAACAGCGACACGAACCTGGCAGCGTGGCCGGCCTGCGCGACGCCGCGTCGCGACCTCCTCTCCGCCCTGCCTCCGCCCGAGCAGTGCATTTCCGACGTGCCAATTTATGGCCCCCTCTCGCAACAAGATGGCGGCGGGGCCGTACCGGGGCATTCGATTCTCGTGCCAAATTCGTCCGGGATTTTTCCATAAATATATTCCCGCGAACCGCCTCTCGCCGCGCGCTTCCCTTTGGCTTCCCTGGCGCCGCGGCGGAGCGGCGAACAACACACCGCAGAGCAGGATCTGGCCCGCGCGCCGCCCTGCCAGGCTGCGACTGCGCGTGTGTTCTGTCTACACCCTTCGTCCTTGCCACGAACAGAAAGAGGAGGAAGAAAAAATGGAAAAATGCTTTTTGTCGATAGTGTATATTTTTGTGCAGTATCAATTTTGGGATAGATATTTTTTTCTAGTGGCCCTCCACCACAGTCGGCCGAGGGAGGCTCGGTGGCGCCGGGTCTCGGGCGCGTGCAAAGTGCTCGTGTGGAGTGCAATTACGGGCGCGGAATGACTTGTTGCCAGCTCGTTGTAGCGCCTCGCCGCGCTGTGCTGCCGGCCCGGCGGCCACGGCGGCGTGTCCACGGACCATCAGCACACAAGCTGTTGCACCGCCGCGGCCGCCGCCCCCACACGCACCGCCCTCTTGTGCGTTTCTTTCCCGCGGTGCTTTCGGCGCGGCGATTGAAAGACAGTTTGTCAAAAGGCGGTGATAAAACGCGCGGGGAACCGGCTCCACCGCCTCATTCCGAGGGATCGTTTCGTCGCTCCGTCTACCTCGCACCCCTGCTGCGTGACGGCCGTGACGGCCCGTGAGTGCGAGAGAGACAGGGCGACATTGGCGGGAAATATTGGCGGCGGGGTTCCGGTCGACGGGCGCCAGTTTAGTTGAGGGCTGACCGCCGTCCGTGCGCTGTGGACCGCCTCGCGCACGGCAAATGGGCCGAAAGCGAGGCGAAGCGATGCCCACGTCCCAGCTGTCACCCTGACGGCTGCGCGGAGATCTCTTGTGTACTCGGCCACGGCGGCACGGCGGCCTCAGCCACACCGGCGCGGCGCGGTCATCGCCATTTTCGTTCCCGCCCATTACCCTCGTCCCGCTGGTCCGCCCACCTCCAGTGCTCCAGTCACGAGGCACCGGGCCGGACTGCCGGGGGGCTTTCGGCTTTTCACTGCGCGCCTCAAAGAGATCGCCCAGATTAAGTAATTGCTGCGATCCGTTTCGGAGACCGGGGATATCGGGGTGACGACGGCGGAGGCGGTGGGGCGGCAACGAGAGAGGGAGAGAGAGAAAGCGGAAGAGAGGTCTCACCGTCGTGCCGAGGCGTCCATCCTCGGGATTGGAACGGCGTTACCGAGGATGGTAATGCATGAGTCACCGCCCCGTCAGCCCCCCTTCCCCCTTTTCTCCCCCGGAATGCAGCCGCCCTCCCACAAACCGCAGCCGGCGAGCCTGGCGTCTCCCTCAGGTGGCACAGAAAAATGTCCCTTTCGTGGTTTGGACAGGGGGCACGGCAAGTTACGAGGGAGGGGTTGGCGGCGAGGCGACGGCGAGGCGACGGCGAGGTGGCGCTGGGAGAAGGCGGCCGCTGCCGCGCTGGAGAGGAGACCCTGAAGAGCTGCAGGTAGAGCGGACCGTGGCGCGGCGTGGCGCGGTGGTTGGGGCGTAAGTGACCTGACGAGCCCCCGGAGGGTCGAGCGAAGGCGAGGGAAGCCTGGCTGGCTGCCTGGCTGCGCGGCTGGCGGCCGGTGTGTGTCTCGGGGCAATCTCACAGCGCCCAATTACCCCCGGCCTCGACACTGCCTCGCCACTGCCTCGGCGCTGACAAGGGTTATTTAAGATTTCGCCCCGCCCTCACCTCGCCACCGCGACGACAATCAGTTCAAATTTCAGCCTTCCATCTCGACTGCATATTAATTTTTAACGAAACAATTAAGCGCGCGCGGGGTCCGGTTGGAAACAGTGAACGCCTCTGCGTGGCCGGCGTTTTCACCGTCCATTTGGGGGGGTTTCGGAAAACTTCAAAAAGTCATTTGGAGCAACAATATTGGTTCGTTCCCTTAGAACAAGAAGATGGTGATGTAATCGTTATGCAGGTAAAATGCTTCGTTTTAGTGCCAGTCGGAATTCCCCTTGATGCCGAGGTGACCCCAGCACAGTGGGCCAAAAGACAGGTGGAGGCGGTCAAAATACCAGACGCGTTTTGAGCTCCAGGGTCGCTAATTGGGACTAGAACTGCCCGTATGACCCCACCAATGGATTGGTCTCCAAAGAAGGAATCTATCGGTGGGGTTCGCACGTTCAGTTCGAGTCCTGTTTAGCGACTCTGGAGCTCAAAACGCGTCTCGAGTTTCAGCCGCCTCCACCGGTCTTCTGGCCCACTGTGCCCAGGAGGGCCTCGTCGACGCGCTGGACCGCCGCCGGCCTCGGCCTCGTCTTACTTGCCGCCGGGAGGTGCGTCGGAGCGAATAACGCAAGGCCTCGGCCCGGCCTCGCCGCCTGGAGGGCGGGTTGGCCGGGCGGAGCGGCCGCGCGGGCCCCAACATGAGATCCCACGGGGGCCCACTACGCCGCATCACAGGTAGGCGGCCCGACGCCCGCCGACGCCCGCCCGACGCCAGGGGCTGAGGGGCTCAGAAACGAGACCCGTTGAGTAATCACGGGTCCCGGGCGGCGAAAGATAAGCGGCCAATCAACATCCAGCAGGCAGGCAGGCTGGCGGTGCAGGCGGTAAGGGCGCCCGCAACCCCTATGGGCCGGGCGGGCCTATTCTCTCCACCGCGCCGAGCGCGCCGAGGTAAGGCTTGGCTCAACGCGGGGACTACATTGGACTACATGGCGGCGAGAGGGAAGCGGGAAGCGCGCTGGAAGACGTCCATCAGGGGAAATAAGCGCTCTCCAGAGGCACCTTAGCCGGTGCAGGCCGCGCCGTGGCCTCTGATTGTAGTGGAGGTAAAAGTGAGGCTGGGCGAGGCAAGGCGAGGCGAGCACGCCGTCATTTGGGGGCGAATATTTTAGCCGCGACAAGGCGCAGCGTATGCCACACTGTACCGGGGTGCCTGCCGAGGTCACCTGGAGAATAACCTTCACGTTGGCCGCGGTGTCGTTCGCGTTCCAAATAAAACGGCAAAAGAAACATTACTTGTGGCTTCTGCAGTGCAGACCATACCTCTTTCTCAAAAAAAAAGAAAAGAAAAAACTATACGCGAGTGTGCGATGGGGCCGCCCGTCGCCCGTCCAGGTGTTTTTTCCAGCTCCAGCGAAGCCTCCCCCGCCGCTGGGCCGGCGCCGGCAGCGCTACAGTCCAGATGGTTATGGATTGCGGCAATTTTCCGGCGGCCGGCCTCTAATCCGGACGACCCAAATCCGGCCGTTATTAATGCGACTCATCGCGGCCGCAGCCAGCGGCAGCCAGCGGCGAGGAGACGCCGGGGACGCCGAGGACGCCGAGGAGATGAAGACGACACGCAGCCGCCCTGCACGACCCACCCCGCCCGCCCCGCCGCTCGGCCTTGCCCCGGAGACGTGGGGGTAATAAAAACAAAGCATCCCTCACCCCTCCGGCAGCCGGCCCGTGGCACGGCCCGTGGCACGGCCCGTGGCAGCGCAGCGCACCTCCACCAGTAATGGCAAATCAGTGGAAACAATGCGCCACTCCGAGGCTTCGGGCTCCGGGTCCGGTCCAGTCCGGTGCGGGTCCACGCGCCCTGCAGAGCGTGCTCATTGAATCAGTGCACTCGACTCACTCGGCCGGCCTTCCCTTCCGCGCGACAACGGCAATAATTGCCGCCCGAGTTTTAAATTGGATTGCCGGGAAAGAATCGCGAGCCAGCCGGGCGGGGCGAGCGGCACCTTTTCAGCGCCGGCGAAGTCGAGCCGCCGTCTTGCAATAAATGGACCAATTTGTGGCGGCCGGGCTGAGAATTAGTCCAAGTGGCGCGCCGCGGTGTTCTTGCCGGCCGGCCAGCCGGCCAGCCAGCCAGCAAGCCAGCCAGCCAGCCAGCCAGCCAGCAAGCCAGCAAGCCAGCCAGCAAGCCAGCCAGCCAGCAAGCCAGCCAGCCAGCTTCGGCAGCCTCAGGTGAAGCACAAAGCCAGCAGGCCATCCCTCAACACGGCGGTGCTGTGGCTGGTTCGCGCTTCGCGGCCGGCCCGGCCCAAGGCCCGGCCACCTTTCCCTTTTTATTAAGGCTGAAACAAGGCGGCCATCCGCTGCCGTCTGCCTGCTCGGCCTGGCCGCCCGCCCGGCCTGCCTCCGCTTGTTCCGATCGCGTTTCCACGTGGAGGGCCACCATTAGGGCTGCACCGCACCGCACCGCGCCGCACCGCCCTGCACACAGAGGGCGCCGCGTTTTCCTCGAGAATAAGCACTTTCCTTGGCGGGGCTAATTAGTGTGGGCCCGCCCCGCCCCGCCCCGCCCCAGCCGTGTTCCAGACCAGGAGAAAGAAAGCAGCGCCCTCGCCACAAACAGAAGGGATCCCTCTCAATGCAAACAATGGTGTCGATTGGGGCGCTGTGCGGTGCCGTGCTGTACGCCCCGGCACGCCCCGGTACGCCTCGGTACGCCTTGGTACGCCCCGCGGCGCCGGTCGGGAGGGGCTTTCAGGAGCTCGACCTGCGAGGTGCGACGGGTTGCCTACCTGCGGCGCTGCGGCGGAGCGGAAAGCCCTGCCGGGGCGACCCGGCTCGCTGTGGAGAAAGACGATGCACCCCGCCACCCTCCCGCACCACACGCACGGAGTCAGAGCCGCCAGGCCAAAAATCAGACTTTTAAAATGCAAAACTCGAAAAACAACAACGACCCGGCCGGGGTGGTGACAGTGTTTATTTTCACCAAGTCTTTAAATATGCATCTGCAGCGGCGGAGGGTGCCAACGGCAGCGAAGCGGTCTTCGGGGAGAAGGAGAAGAGGAAGAAAGAGAAGAAAGAAGAAGAAGAAGAGAAGAGGAAGAAGTTGAAAGAGAGAGAGAGAGAGAGAGAGAGAGAGAGAGAGAGAGAGAGAGAGAGAGAGAGAGAGAGAGAGAGAGAGAGAGAGAGAGGGGGGGGGAACGCAGAGCAATGCAAGGGCAATGGCAGGAGGGGCGTAAGTCGCCAGTTTGTGGGGGCGATGCAGCCAAGGGGAAGGAAAGAAGAGTCGTGGTGAAGGGGGTGAAGGGGGGTGAGGGGGAGGGGGTGACCACGACGCGTCCTGAATGCCGCAAGATGTCGCAGGGGCCAAATGACCCGTGGAATCGGCAAAATACCAAGCTACAGGCAAATTCGGATGGATTGATGGAGCCTATGGTCGGCCTGGCCTTCGGCATGGCTTCGGCGGCCCCCAGATTTGGGGTAAGTGTTTTCTGTTTCCCTTCCGAGCCGTTTCCCCCTCCCTTCCCCTGTCCTTCCGCGGTGGGCTGTAGTAGTGCGGTTGCGAAAACAGAGACAGATTCCGAGCGATGGGAGCGAGGGAGAGCACCGCAGGGCGCCGCAGGGACATGCCAAAGAAAATGCTACGCGACACGTGGGCCTCGGCCGCCCTGGGCCGCCCTCGGCGCTGCATCTTTCGTGCTGCGCGAACTTGACAGTGTACCAGTACCATGTTAGGGTTCGGTCTCCAGTCTTTCCCCGCTGCAGAGGAAATCCGCACAGTTGATCAACCGGTCGCAAGCCAGGGGCGAAAGGGTCCGCGGGTCGCCAAACTTCAAGTTTTCCGTTTGTTTTCACTTTGGTCCAGGCCAACTAGACTTTTCGCAAAGCGCACCGATTGTCGGCTCTGTTTTCATTTTCACCTGACTCGCACCACCCAAAACCCAGCAGAGATCCTCGTTCTCTCTCTCTCTCTCTCTCTCTCTCTCTCTCTCTCTCTCTCTCTCTCCTCGCTCCGCGCATGCAAATGCCCTGCTTTGCTGAGGACGCCCAAAAATCCCGAGCAACGTGTAATGGATTATGCCCGCACCTTTTCCCGCCAAAGCTGCCGCTAAGTGTGCGCCGTGCCGGCCGCGCCACGCCAAGCCACGCCGCGCGCTTAGTATTATTTTTATTTCCCGGCCCGGTTCTTCTTGTCTGGGTAGGAATTTCCGAATGGAATCGCGTTCGCACTGCCCCAAAATGGGTTCCCGAATTTTAAATGCTCGCTTTTTTTTGCGGAAATGTCCGCGGATCAAGCCTGATTTGCATGAGTGACCCCAAAGAACCACAACGTTTGTAATCGATTATCCCGTATTAATTTACTATCAAATGTGCGTTTATAGTGCATGTCCCGGCCAAGTGGGCCACCCGGAATTCCCGGGAAGCTCGGGAATTTCCTGTGATTTTCCCGGGAATTCGAACCGTTCTTCTCTTTCCTGGCCCGGTCTCCTGGTTTCCCGGTTCCTCGCTCTCCCGGTTTGCCGCTGGCCGCGCGTCCTCGTCCCCGAACAGATAATGCGAAGGCGGCGAGCGAGAGAGCTTTCTCTTGCCGTCTTGTCGCGCTGTCACTGTCGCACTCATGGACAATATCGGAAGGGTGCGAGAGGGGCAGAATCGACGAATCGAACGACACGCGCCCTGAGCGCCTGACACGCAGACGATAGGCAACCCGTTGCGCTGCCGTGCGCCGAGGGGCCTCGCGCTTGCCTTCCTCGCAGGCGCGCTCTGTCGCTCGCGAGGCTTGGCTGAGGCGCGCCGCGGGGGAGTGAGAGAGACAGCGCGACGGAATCGCACCGCTGGACGGTCTGTTTCCACGCGGCCTTCGACCACCCCGTAATTGCCTATGCAAGGTGCGTTGGGAGGGCGAAGCGTGCTGGCGATATGTGGCGTCGGTGTGCGTGTGTGTGCTTGTGTGTGTGTGTGCACAGGGGAGAGGTGGAGTTGTAGGGACAAAATAGGACCAAACCACACCGCCAGGAAGTGGGATGGTGAGGAGCCCGTTTACGTGGGCCCTGAGGGACAGTTCGTGCCCCCTTTGGGGTAGCGCTGCCGCCGCCGCCCCACACCCCTCCCCTTCCCCTGCGGGCGTCACGAAGCGATACCACGGTCGCCCGAAGCACGCATCGCGTATGTGTGCGGCGTGCCCAGGCGTGCCCGCGCGTGTGGCACTCGCCCTGCCCGCCGCCACCGCCGCCCTGCGCACTGGAGTCTCCAGGAAGCAGATTAGCTTCCGGATAAAATCTTGGAACGGTAAATTTCCCGAAAGAGGGCCTCCACGTTGCCGTCGGGCCGTCACTCGAGCGGCGTTCCGGGTAATTCTTTTAATATCCGCGCACTTAAACCCTTGCTCCATTTATGATTGAGACGTGCTGCGTGGCGTTGCTATTACACTCTAATTCTCTTGACCCCGAAGGCTAATAATTCCAACACCGGCCCCTGCATCAATACAGCAACAACAGCAACAACAACAGCCACCTAGGGCAACCCACACCGTGGCGCCTGGTGGCGCAGGAAGAAATATCACCGCCCTTCAAACCCCTCATTTTCCTGCTTTCCCTTTTAGATAGCCATCGGCACGGCCGGCCGCGGCGGCGTGGCCGCCATGGGCCGCCATGCGGTTGACGTGCGGCGCGGCGCTTAATATCACTTGGCCCGGCCGACCCGACCCGGCTCGCCCCGCCTCGCCCGCACCGCGATACCGTTCGGTCACTCTGATCCCGGTTCGTCCGCGAGCAGGTCAAAGCTGGCCGTTGCCACGCCGCCCCGCTGCAGCATGACGTGCAGGGTGGCGCGCTGCAGGGAGGCGCGTGGCGCGTGCCTCTGCCGCCGCGGCCGCGGCTGACTCCTCGACGGCGAGCTCTCGGCGGACGCCTTGGCGGTCAGCGGCCGCGGGATAATTCACCACTCATATTGGCAGCGAAAAGGATTCTTCTAACGGGCTCCTCGCACGAAGGCCCTGCCCCGCCCCGCCCCGTCCCGCCTCACCTTCCTCCCCGCTGCTCCGGCGCAGGATGGTGGCGCCGTGCTCGCGCCGCCACGAAATGGTGGGCGCCGGGTAGCCGGTGGCCGCGCAGCTGAGGGAGACGTCGGCGCCCTCGTGCGCCACCACGTCCGTGCTCGTCTTGATGTCCCAGATGTCCGGCGGCACTGTAGGGAGCAGAGACAATCACCCACATCAGAAATTTTTGACTTGAACAGTACAGAACGGACAACGCAAGAAATGAAGCACAAAAATTGAGAGCTTCCGCCTTTTCTGCCCCAAAGGAGATTTTTTTAAATGTGTGGACAAGGACCCGAAAATGCCCCGTTTTTCTTGGCTCCCCCTTTGTTCTGTTGCTTTTAAGCAAGCAGAAGGCGGCAAATAGGCACCTCGCCGAGAAGGCCGCCGAGAAGCACTGGCTGTCACCGCCCTCGACCGTCGCCTCGACCGTCGAGCGCCAAGTGGAGGCGCTCCTCGCCGCTCCGCGCCCCGCCCCCCGCCTCCCCGAGGGGTCCTTATACTGCTCCATAAGGGAGGGAATATGTACGCAAGAAATAAAGCGGCCCATCCGTCTGGAGAAGAAGCAGTGCAGTGGCGAGGTGGGGCGAGCCAAGCCCGGCAGAGCCCGAGGCTGAGCCCGCCCACCCGCGTGGCCAGTTAGTCAGCCCGTTCAAACACCCCCCGTTCTTCGCCAGCAGGTGCCGCTTTGCGCTGTGTGTGTGCGCGCGCGCGCTGTGCGCGTGTCTGTGTGAGGTGTGTGATTGCAGCGAGGTGTTCGCCCGTCGCGCTGCCACTGCGTTGCCGCGTTGCCGTGACAAACGCAGCGCGCCGTAATATCTGCAAGTCGACGGGGCGGCACGGCGGCACGGCGGCAGGGCGACGGGGTCACGGCGGCCGTAAAAAGGCGGGGCCGGAGAGGAAACTCCAGCGCGGCGTCTGCCTCGCACCTGGTCCTGGTCGCCCCAGTCGCGGTATCGCGGCGACTCCATCGTGCATGGCTCCATTGCGTTCGACACTGTCGACACTGCAGCGCGATAGAGGTAGGGCGCTGCACCGACTTGGCTGTTATTGCGCTCCGCTTCCTGCAGGGCTGCCGTCGGCCTGCCGTCGGCCTGCCGTGGAGCGGGACGTGGAGCACGGAGTGGCGCGGCGAGGCGGCGGGCCGCGGGGCCTTCGCCGAGGAGCGGGGCACACTTTTCGGACGCCGAAGCGGCGCGGACTTCACTTACTCCAGACGAACCAACAGCGATAATAAAATGATTCGACATCGGAAAAACTAACACTGAAAAAACAGTTTTGGAAAATTCGACTGGTTTTTCTTTTGGACGGCGGTCGAGCTCGCAGCCAAAACACCGGCTTGAGGGTTGCCTAGCCTCCTTCATTAGGGGGCCTGTGGGGCGGTGGGCGGAGGCGACGGTCCGCACCGAGCCAGCCGCCCCCGAGGGGGACACGCAGGGCCCCCGCCACCCCCCGGCCGTGTGCGTTGCCCCGCGCAAAGTGAATTTATCGCGGAAACTGAGATTATGTTGTGTCTAGTGGAGTGGCTGCCGCCCTGGCCGCCGCCGCAGCCACCCGAAGGGGTGGGGGGAGGCGACTTACTTCAGCAGCAGCAGGACATCGTCTTGAACATCGTGCTCTTGCCCGGATTTATCCCGGGGCGGGGAGGAGGGGTGGGGGTGCTGGTGCTGCTGGAACCAGGATGAAGCACTACTACGCGGCCAGGAGGGCACGGCGGCACGGCGGCACGGCGGCCCGGCAGGGCACGGCAGGGGGAAGGGGCAGGGAGGCCCACAATCCCACGACAACACGTTTGTTTTTGCCGAGCGACACCCGCTGCGCCCGCTGGCCGCGCCGTGCCGCGGTGTGGGGCCGCGGCCAGGCCGCCCGTTCCGCGTGACACAGGTGCAAGAAGTCAACATAACTATTTCGCACTAATGGCGAGGTTTGCCTTGATACAGAGCACTGCGGAACTACTTTACCCCGGGCCAGCGGGCCGGCCGGCCAGCGTGGTGGTAGTGGTGTGGCGCGGGTTGGAGCGGCGGACGGAACACGGGAAAAAATGTCAGCAGGTACACTGAAAATATGGCATGTCCTGAAACTGGGCGCCTTGGTAGCCCACTGCACTTTTTGGGGCGCCAAATAGCATATACTTTAAGGGCACTTTCGATGCCTCCTTTCAGAGTCCACAAACCATCCAGCAAGTGGCCTCCTTCCATGATAGGCCATGTATGATTCATTTGCTATAGATAGACCAAAGGGTTCGCAGTACCTGTGCAGCGACAAGAGTTCCTTGTTCCTAGACGCCTTAGTCACCCATAACCTGGTCTTGTTGGCTGGAAAGAAACTAGGCGTCTTAAAAAGTTTCCAGAAACTGGACATCTTTTCAAAATTAGCATACTATTTGATGGGCACTGAATGGTACAGAAAAGATTCAACGCTTGAATCAAGTGTTGTCGTTAGTAACCCCCAAGGTAGATACGGATTTAAAACTCACCACACATGTATCCTGCATCCACTCCAAATTCCTGGCTAATATTTTTGTTTGTCGATTGTTCCCAACTTTCTCCTCAGGTCGCTGTAGGATTACTGGCACAACACAACAACACACTATGGCAGAGTCTGGCAGAGGCATGAAAGGTCTCAAAATATAAGGTTAGTCCGCAGCCAACTCCCTCGACTTACCTTCAATGTTGGGAAATTCCAGGATGTCGACACACACGAAGCACGTCCACTCCTCTGCCGATGCCATTGATTCATCCTTTCAAAGAGGAAAATATCTTGAGCAATTGTATAACCGCTCTAAATTTAAAAAATAAAGCGACGGAGCAACGGAGCAACGAATAAACAACAACACTAACAGTAGACCGGGTGCCGGGAGTGCCAACATATGAAAACGAAGCCCTGTACTTTTTCAGAGCAGCCTCCTTGTGGAGGATTTCGTTTTCATGGGTTGGTACTTCCCGTGCGCGGGCTGTTGTTGGTTTTGTTGTTTAGTTTCGTTGTTAAGGTGATTTCTTTATTCATTCTAGAACGGTTTTACAAGTGTTCAATATTTCATTCTTTAAAAGGAAGAATCAGTGTCATCGGCAGAAGAGTGGACGTGCTTTGTGTGTGTTGAGGTGTTGGAAATGTCCCAGGATTGAAGCTAAGTCGAGGCAGGTGCCTGCCGACTAACCTACCTTAAGAGACCTTACAAGACTCCGCCTACAGTGTTGTGTGTGTGTTTTTTTTTTTAAAGCCTGAAACCATGAAGCAGGCTGAAGAGAAACTAGGAACCTGCGGACAAACCACAACATTGGATGCACGATACGGTGAGTTTTTAATCTTAAGAGGGGTCGCGATACGTAGTTCTTAGTCGCCATTTGACATGGTGAGAAGAACCACGGAGCCTAGAAAACCGTCACAGCATGAGACAAATTACATCCAAAAATAACGAATCGCGTTTTTATTCATTACTATCGTTCTCTGCCGGCGCGTCGGCCACACCTGCGCCTTGCCTGCCGTCACCACAGCCGCCATCTCGAAGATCTCGCAGGCACGACCGCCACCGTCTTGCGTCGACGCCACGGCGCTGCCGCCGCGCTGCCGCCGGCCGAGGGCCGTAAGTCTGGGGCTGCTTCTCCTTGATGCAGAGCAGCCAGCGCGGAGAGCCGCACATAATTCCGCGCCGAATGAGTCTTATCCGAGATCTTTTACATTACTTTTTCGCGCACGGCTCGCTTCTTGGTGCGCTGCGCCGGGATTGTGCGTGGCGCCGAGGGGGGAGGGGGTTGCAAGGGGAAAGGGGGGGGGGGATGGGGCGCTGCTCTCCGCGCCACCACGCCGGCCCCACTGCTTTCTCCCAGGCGGCCGACTTAACACAGTTAGCGGCTAGGCTCCCCACGCTGATTATCCACTCCCCGGCCGGCGCGGGGACGGCGGGGGCAGCGCGGGGGCGGCGCGGGGGCGGCGCGGGGGCAGCGCGGGGGCAGCGCGGGGGCGGCGCGGGGGCAGCGCGGGGGCGGCGCGGGGCGGTGCAGGGGCGACGCGCGGTGCGGCCTCCAGTAGTCCGTTACTCTGCGAGCTTAGTGCGGCATTAACAGCGATCCTTATAAGTAATTCATGAAACGCGGGGTAGGGCCTGCCGGGCCGGGGCGGAGCGGGGTTGGGCCCCCCGTGTCGACGGCGGACCCACGGGGAACCTTCGCCGCGGACGGGGCCCGAAACGGAGAGCGACTTTCGTCACCACGTACTTCACCACTGGCGGCGGCGGCAGCGGCTCCTGCTGCTCAGTTTAGCCGCCACTGTGGGATTCCCTCACGGAGTATGCCGCTATTAATTATGCGAGCGCCGCCACGCCCCCGCGCCGCCACTGCATAAGGGACTGCATAAAAGGCACTCCCTCGGTTCCCTTAGTGCAGCGCGGCGGCACGGCGGCGCGGCGCGTCGGAGCCCCCGACAAATTGCACCTCCCCGGCGGCGCCGTGACGCAGCAGGCGGCCGAGGCCAAGAAGGAGGCGTAGGAGGGCCGCAAGAAGCACTCCTCGCGTGATCGGAAGCGCCGCTCTTTCTCGCTCTCTCTCGCTCCCGCTAATCACACGTGCACCGTGCTGCACGCGTGAAGTAAGGGTCGAGGCGCCGCCGCGCCGCGCGCTGACGGCCGAAGATAGAGGGCCGCGAATTCGCGATGAGATGTGTCGGCCGGGGCGGGGCGGGGCGGGGCGGGGCGGTGCAGTGTGGGGTACAGGTGTGTGCAAAAGCAAGGCGGAAGTGGCGGCCCCCTCCCCCCACCCCCACTGCCCCTGGCTGAGAATGAAGCCGGAAAGTTGGCCAAGGCTTGGCTCTGCTTCAGCGGGGCGTGCGGGGAGAAGACGCGGCACCCCGCCCCACCCCACCCCACCCCACCCCACCTCACCCCGCCCCGCCTCGCCCCGCGCGCAAGAGATCGCCACGCACAGCGCTTTGCATGTATTTACATGTTATTAAGGGGAGACAATCCGACCGGGCCGAGGCATGGCCGAGGCCTGGCCAAGGTGTGGTAGGTGAGTACAGGAGGCAAATAAGGACTGCTAAAGCTGTCGAACGGCGGCGCCCCTCGCTGCGGCCCGCGCGGATTACGCAGGCAGCTCTAGCCAAACTCATTACTGCCAAATTATTTATAGACACGGCCGTATTGTCGCGGCCAGGGAGTCGCCCCGAAGGCAACAAGCCTGACTTTCAGCCTGCAGGCAAACGACCAACTAATTTTCCAGACCTCCCCCTGCCGTAAACTTCACTTCATTAGCGACTTGTTCCGCGGAAAAGGTTATCATTTACTCATTTTCTGCGAAAACCGAGATGGTCGAGCTCCGCGACGGCCAGCAGGATGGCGGAGACTTGAGCGTATGCGCGGCGACGGCCCAGCCAGACGGATTCCGCGACCGGCTATCCGGCTTTCGGCAGCACTACTGGCCGCCAGAGGGCCAGAGGGCCGGAGGAGGGATTGGGCCCACAGCGGTGAGCCCCGCTGGGTTGGGAGGGAGGCAAGCGTTATTGGTGTAACGCAGTTAATAACAGATAGGGACCCAGAAGACAGCCCGACAAGAGAATGACAATGGAGGGAAGAGGTCCTCTGTGTGCGTGTGTGAGTGTGACCGCGTGTGTGTACGAGTGCGTCGGTACGTGTGTGGATAAATGTGTGTGGGTGCTGGGTGTGTATTTTACCTCACACCCCTCATTCTCTCCGACCTACATGTCACCCGCCTCCCCCTCTGGATTGCTGTCAGCAAGCTCACGCGGCTCACTCCGGCAAGTCACGCACGCACGCGCGCACGCGAGGGAAGGATGGGCCACCAGGTGTGATTCTGTCCATGCGGTGACATCACTTAGGTGTTTGAATTTCTATTTTTTTCTTTTTTTGGTGCCCCGCGGGAAAGGTGGCGCGTTGGGGGTGCCTGACTGCCGCCCGAGACTCGACGTGCGTGTTTTTCCGGCCGCGCCGTGTTTTATATTGCCCCCTCCTCCCCTTTCCCGAGCCGCGCGCGATTGATGAGGTAAGCAGGCGCGACGACAGCAAAACTCTGCGTACAGCGCAAAAACAAACTTCAAACCTCAAACAAAAAACAAAACAATTTTTTTTTTAAATAGTGAAAAGTGACGGGGCTTACCGACGACCTCCAGGTAGCCGACCTGGCTCTTCATGGGGTCCGTGTTGATCTGGCACATGTAGGGGCCGCGGTCCTTCTCCTGCACGTCCTTGATGTGCAGGTACCAGATGCGCTGGTCCGTGTGGGTGAGCGCCACGCGGTGGTTCTTGGTGATGACGGCCGTCTGCACCGTCAGGATGGTCTGCGTCTCCACCTGAAGCCACGCCACCTGCGGACACAGAGCGGCACCGCGTGGCGCAGGGGTCAGTGAAGTCACCGGCGGCGCGTGGGGTCCGGAGTTCGACTCTCGTCACTCTGATTTTTTTCTCCACGGAAGTCGTGTTTACTTACCCTGTACGTGGACAGGTTGTCCACCACGCACGTGAGCACCGCGTCACGCCCCACCGGCACCGTCACGTTGCGCAGCGGCTCCACGAACTTGGGCACGTCTGCAACACGACATGCAGACAGTCAGCCAACAGACAGACAGGCAGACGGACAGACAGGCAGACGGACAGACAGACGGACAGACAGGCAGACGGACAGACGGACGGACGGCGAGGAAGTGAAGTAAGGGGCAGTGGCGGGCAGTGCCATGTCCTGTCCGGTCCATCTGGCGGCTCGTGATCGTTCATGACGGTGACCGTAAGGGACCGTAAAGGACGGCGGACTTACTTAGCAGCCTCTCGCCATCTCGCTCGCACTCGAGGTGGCCACGCGGCGCCGCGCCTCGTCGCACCGCACCCCACTCCACCCCCACCCCCATTTTCCAACAGGTCACGGCGGCCGCCGGGTACAAGACTCTTACATCAGACCGCGCCGCGTGGTGAGGGGGCCTTGCTGGACAGGGTGGGAAGAGAGGGGGGGGGTGTCCTGCAAATAATTGGGGAAGGTGCGCAGTGACTGAGTAGGGGGTGGGGAAGAAATCGGTGGGCCACGCGACGCGGAAAAAGTGCGCGGGAAGAGGAAATGGCGGAGTGTTGTCGGCGAGGAGGGGTGCTCGGCGTGCGTGCACCGCCGCAGCCCGCCCGGCCCGCCACCGCGACACCCCCTCTGTCAGCACCGCGCCGCACCGCCGCACCGCGCAGGGCGCCGCCAATTTCATTAGAGCGGCGTGAGCGCCGTAATCACTGGGCAGGGCGTGGCGGGGCGGCGGCCGGGGGAGGGAAGGGTTGCTTCTCGCCAAAGTAGCGCCTCGGCGCAGATGATGCAGGTGCGAGCGAGGCGGCAGAGCGAGGCGGCAGGGCGCCGTGGAGTGACAAAGCGCGTAATGGGCAATCTGCTGCCGCGATCCGCGTCCTCCGCGTCGGACTGCACCGCCAGGCCGCCAGCTGCTTCCACCCTCCACCCTTCCCCTCCTTCTTGGCGTCGACGTGCGTTTTGGGGGTGCTAGGCAGCACAGGATCTATTCGATTTTTAAATCGGACCACCAACTTTAAGTCTACGGTGCCCTAGTCTCCTATGTAATGTTTTCGAGTTTTTTTTACCGTGCTTATTTCTGGCCTTGCGGGCTGCCCGTTTGCCTCTTCTGCTTGCCTGCCGCGGTTGGGTGTCGGGGGCGGCGAGGACGCCGAGCGAGGACGGCGAGGACTCTCGCGGCGGCGGACGGCCGGGCGGAGGGCGGAGGGTCGCGACGAGGCGGAACCGGACTCTGGCTGGACCCTCCAATTTATAGCCGAGACCCCGAGGGTGGGGCGGGGCGGGGCGGGGCGGGGCGCGCGTGTGTTTGGGCGACAGAGGCGCACGCCGCGTGACGTGCGGTCGCCGACACAAAGTGTGCCTTCGCCTTCCTCCCCAAGACATGCCTCACTTCGCAGTGCCCGCTCTGCCCGCTCTGCCCGCTCTGCCTACTCGCAGGGAGCCCAGGGTGCGGTGGGGTGGGGTGCGGCGCGGCGTGCCTCTGAACTCCACGACAACCAGCGACCCTTCCCGCACACACCTCTGTGCGGAGGGCGCGGCGGGGCGCGGCGACCTCCCCAACTGTGCGCCCGCCCCGCCCCGCCCCGCCCCGCCCCCCCGCCCCGCCCCGCCCCACCGGACAAGGGGTGTGCCACTGGGCCCTCTTCTCCTTGCCCCTGCCCTCCTTCCCTAGCGTCACGTTCGTCTGGACGGCCTGGACCTCCCGGAGGACGCGCGAGGACCTGGAGGACCCCGAGGACCCCGGAGGAAGGCCCGGCGGGCCGCCCCAGCCGAAGGCGGTGGGGAAGGGTGATCAGAGTGCAGATCAGTGTCCGTGCCGTCCGGCCAGTCGTCCTTGTGACATTGCTGATGCCCGGGGCCGAGCCGAGCCGCCACTTGGTGCACGGCCACCCCGCCGCCCCGCCGACACGACGCCGAGGCGGGCCAAAAATCAGAAACTGCGGAAAGAAACGGATTTCCTCGCCGCGCTTGAACGCCGGCCCGCCTTGCACTCGCTCCCGCATTCATCACGGCCTTCATTAGCGCCCTCTTTGCGTCGCAGTGCGTTGCAGTGCCGTCTGCTCGCGTCTCACGCGCGGAACGCACTTGGCGGAGCGACTCGCGCGAGCGCATCGCCAGGCGAAATGCAGTTTAAAACTTTTTCATGGCGAAACTTAAAATGATGGCTCTATTTATGGACTGGTGCTACGCGTGCTACGTGGGCGCCAACAGTGGGCATGCCGGCCGCGCTGCCGCCGTCGTTCCACAGTCTCAGCAGGAGAGGGGAAGACTTCCGGGCGGAACGACTTTCGCCTTCGTTTCGCCGACTGTTGCTGCCGCGCTGCCGTGCTTGCCGCTGCTCGGGCGGAGAGGATCTGCCGCGCCGAGCATTCGAGCAAAAAAGAAGCCTGAAGCGACGGAAACAAGAAGGAAAGATTTTGAATGTTGGGGCGGCAGCGCGGCAGCGCGGCAGCGCACGCCGTTCGCTCCACTGCGCCGGGGCCTAAGCGCGTGCCGCGCCGCCGAGCCTCGTGCCTCCAGGGGATGATGGCGGCAAGGCCCAGCCGGCCGTCAATATGTTGACAATCACGCCCCCCGCGGGGCCCCGGCGGCCTGCCTGCCGGTCCTAGCGGGGCCCCGCGCCACCGCGACAAGCGGATTAGTGTCCCCCGCAGCGGGCCTATGGCCTTAGGGGGCTTGACACACACCGCGAGGCGCTGTGGGCGCCGCCATGCCGCCGCCATGCCGCCTGACAGACGCCGTAAGCCGCGCCGCGAGCAGGGCGAGCAGGGCCAGCACAGCGAGCACAGCGGGCGGAGAAGCGGGCTGCCGTCCTGGCCTGTCCTGGCCCACATCTCAGACCCGGCAGCGCAGCGCGTTGGGTTGCCTACCCGCTCGGCGACGAGAAGCACCCCTTCTGGCGGTTCTCAACGCAGCCGCGTAGCCTCGCAGTAGCCCTGTCTCTCCGTATGAATAAGGCACCAGCCGATTGGAGCCTTGTCGCGCGCGGCGATGGGAAGAACGCCGCGAACGGGCCATCTGCCGTCCGGGAACACGGCGGCCGCATTATACTTTTAAGTCGTTAGAAAGGGAGAACCCAGCGAAGGCGCTAGTTCGCTAGTTCATCCCCGCATGGAGCCTTTTTGCGGCGAGATGCTTTGACGGTGCGGCATGACGTCGTGAGGTTCGTTTCGCCGCGCGGCCTCCCTCACTCCAGGTGGCGGGCCGCGTGAGATACTGCAAGACGGTCGGGGCCGCAATCACAGTGTGGCGGCAAGAAGACGACCTCCTCGGCGGCGAATGAGCGCGAGGCTCGCGGGGCGGGGCGGCACTGGCTGGCCGGCAAAAAGGGGCTCCCCGCGGCCGAGCACAGCCACGCAACTGGGGCGCGGCTCGGTGGAGTTGCGCGGCGTTCCGCGCGGCCAATAACACTTGGATGTGACCGTGCGGGGCGGGGTGGGGCGGGGCGGGGCGCTACGTGTACCTGTACCTGCCGTATCAAGATGGTGGGGAAACTAGGACCGTTTGGCCGCCGCGGCACGGCGCGGCGCGGCGTTGGCGGCGACACGAGCTTACAGCCCGCAGGCCGGCCAGCCCTGCCCACTGACTTAATTTCGACCATAAAACTGATGTGACGTAAAGCAGTCTTGTTCGGGACCAGACTCGGTGGCAGCGGCGGTGGCGCGGGACGGCGCCCACAACCGCAGAATTAACTTGAACAACACGGTGAAACGGTAACTTTGTCGTTTGGCGTTTGACCCAGTTGTTGTTGTCGCCGTGCTTGCAGCCTGAGAGGCGAATCGTGTAAAAGCGTAATGCAGTTGAAGCGAGGCGTTTGTGTTCTTTGAGGTCTCGGCCCCGGCGCGGCTAGCGCGGCGAGCGCGTAGTCTGCAATTTCTGTTTATTGCAGCATCGTATTGTGGGTTTTCTGGGTTGCCTTTTTTAGCAGATGATACCTTCACCACACTTGAAACATACTTAAAAATACTGTACACATGAAGGTGTCAGCGTGCTTTTACTCTCGAGTCCAGAAACCAAGCGCGTATCCTAACAATATAATAGGGGCTGGCCGCCGGGGCGGGCTGGTGTGTCTGGCTGGCTGGCTGGCTAGCGGTGAGGCGCAGCCTGCGCGGACAATGGCACCCCCTACCCCCTCCTCGCGCGCGACGGCCCGCGCGCAACATTGACAATCCCTCTCCGCCTGCCACGTCTCAAAGGGTGGGTGACTCGGGCAGACCTCGGCTCTGCTCAGCTCGTGCCGGCTTCGGCGCCAGCTCGGCCTCGTTCGTTGAATGAGATTTTAAGAACTATCTTTGGAATGAGCCCATACTAATGAGCCCAGAAGAAAACCAAACGAGTATCATCTGCTTTCATTAAGGTTCGTTGAATGAGATTTTTTGTTTGCCGTATACGGCTTTTGGTCTGCCTCATACGGTTTTTGATTTGCCGCATACGGTTTTTTGTTTGCCGTATACGGCTTTTGGTCTGCCTCATACGGTTTTTGATTTGCCGCATACGGTTTTTGGTTTGCCGTATACGGCTTTTGGTCTGCCTCATAAGGTTTTTGATTTGCCGCATACGGTTTTTTGTTTGCGTATACGGCTTTTGGTCTGCCTCATACGGTTTTTGATTTGCCGCATACGGTTTTTTGTTTGCCGTATACGGCTTTTGGTCTGCCTCATACGGTTTTTGATTTGCCGCATACGGTTTTTTGTTTGCCGTATACGGCTTTTGGTCTGCCTCATACGGTTTTTGATTTGCCGCATACGGTTTTTTGTTTGCCGTATACGGCTTTTGGTCTGCCTCATACGGTTTTTGATTTGCCGCATACGGTTTTTTGGTTTGCCGTATACGGCTTTTGGTCTGCCTCATACGGTTTTTGATTTGCCGCATACGGTTTTTTGTTTGCCGTATACGGCTTTTGGTCTGCCTCATACGGTTTTTGATTTGCCGCATACGGTTTTTTGTTTGCCGTATACGGCTTTTGGTCTGCCTCATACGGTTTTTGATTTGCCGCATACGGTTTTTTGTTTGCCGTATACGGCTTTTGGTCTGCCTCATACGGTTTTTGATTTGCCGCATACGGTTTTTTGTTTGCCGTATACGGCTTTTGGTCTGCCTCATACGGTTTTTGATTTGCCGCATACGGTTTTTTGTTTGCCGTATACGGCTTTTGGTCTGCCTCATACGGTTTTTGATTTGCCGCATACGGTTTTTTGTTTCCCGTATACGGCTTTTGGTCTGCCTCATACGGTTTTTGATTTGCCGCATACGGTTTTTTGTTTGCCGTATACGGCTTTTGGTCTGCCTCATACGGTTTTTGATTTGCCGCATACGGTTTTTTGTTTGCCGTATACGGCTTTTGGTCTGCCTCATACGGTTTTTGATTTGCCGCATACGGTTTTTTGTTTGCCGTATACGGCTTTTGGTCTGCCTCATACGGTTTTTGATTTGCCGCATACGGTTTTTTGTTTGCCGTATACGGCTTTTGGTCTGCCTCATACGGTTTTTGATTTGCCGCATACGGTTTTTTGTTTGCCGTATACGGCTTTTGGTCTGCCTCATACGGTTTGGGCCGCATACGGTTTTTTGTTTGCCGTATACGGCTTTTGGTCTGCCTCATAGGGGTTTTGATTTGCCGCATACGGTTTTTTGTTTGCCGTATACGGCTTTTGGTCTCCCCCGGGCATACGGTTTTTTGTTTGCCGTATACGGCTTTTGGTCTGCCTCATACGGTTTTTGATTTGCCGAAATAGGGTTTTTTGTTTGCCGTATACGGCTTTTGGTCTGCCTCATACGGTTTTTGATTTGCCGCATACGGTTTTTTGTTTGCCGTATACGGCTTTTGGTCTGCCTCATACGGTTTTTGATTTGCCGCATACGGTTTTTTGTTTGCCGTATACGGCTTTTGGTCTGCCTCATACGGTTTTTGATTTGCCGCATACGGTTTTTGGTCTGCCTCATACGGTTTTTGATTTGCCGCATACGGTTTTTAGCAGATGATACCTTCACCACACTTGAAACATGCTTAAAAATACTGTACACATGAAGGTGTCAGCGTGCTTTTACTCTCGAGTCCAGAAACCAAGCGCGTATCCTAACAATATAATAGGGGCTGGCCGCCGGGGCGGGCTGGTGTGTCTGGCTGGCTGGCTGGCTAGCGGTGAGGCGCAGCCTGCGCGGACAATGGCACCCCCTACCCCCTCCTCGCGCGCGACGGCCCGCGCGCAACATTGACAATCCCTCTCCGCCTGCCACGTCTCAAAGGGTGGGTGACTCGGGCAGACCTCGGCTCTGCTCAGCTCGTGCCGGCTTCGGCGCCAGCTCGGCCTCGTTCGTTGAATGAGATTTTAAGAACTATCTTTGGAATGAGCCCATACTAATGAGCCCAGAAGAAAACCAAACGAGTATCATCTGCTTTCATTAACGTTCGTTGAATGAGATTTTTTTAAGAGTTACACGGCTGTGTGATCTCGGATTTGAGTTAGACACAGCCTGGCGTACCTAGTTTGCACCCCGGCAGTGGTCTCGACAACGACAATCGAAATATGATTCAGTAGTTCCATTTGTTTATTGTTAAGAGCTCATTGTTGGAGTTTAGTTATTGATTACTCACTGCTGTCCAGCCAGGGTGCCCCTTTGTGCTCCTCCTCGTCGACGTGCTCCTGAACTGAAACACGAAACAGAAAGAAAAAAAAACAAGTTAAACTTTTATCGAGCAGGTATGAATTCTCACAAAAAGCAACACACAGTTTTAAAAAGTTTGAAAAAAATCGGTTGAAAAGGCTGGCGTCTGGCGCCGGTGGCAGCTGGAGTTGACCAACACCAACCATCACACTTTGTAGTGCTGTCGACAACTCTGTTCAGTGGTGATAGGCACCCGCACTACAAAACGCCTGTCGGTGGTCAATCGACTGCGTCTGTCAGTCCGAGTGTGTCCATCAGGAACAAAACTATCCAGCCGCCAACGCCAATCAACGGCTGTCTGGCCGCTGCGGTGCTGCGCGGTGCCGCGCGGTGCTGCGGTCCACAGGTGGTGGCCGCCGACCACAGCGGCGTGCTCCGCTGCCTCCGCTCCGGCATGTCAGGTGATGGCGTTCCGGTTCGATTCCAGCTTGTTGCGCGCGCCGCGCCAACGCCGCCGACTGTTTATCTTTTTTATCGGGGGATCAACTTGAATCGGCCAGCGAAACAAACTTTCAACGCGGACTGCAATGAATAGATATCGGGGCACGCCGTCAGCGCCGCCACCGCCCCGAGCGGCTAGCCCCGCCGCTACCGCCACGCCCCGCCCCGCCACCGCCACGCCCCGGCCCGCCGCTACCGCCACAGTCACTCTGGCTGTCCCCCGGTGGAGGTGCTGCCCTCCATGAAGCCGGTGGGTGTCCGGCCGCCGCTCGGCATGGCCCGGCCCGGCTCGACACGGCTCGGTCCGGTACGGTGGTGTGAGCTTGTCCGAACTCACAGCACAACCCCCGTTAAATTTTACCACAGCCATAAACCAGACACGCTCGCTGTAGTTAACTTTCTACGCCGCGCGCCTTGGCTGGGCCACCCTACGGGGCTGCGGGGCGGACGTGTGTGCGCGAGCAAGGCCGCGCCGCCACGCCGGAAGGATCCGTCAGCCGGGGACAGTTTCTTTTCCTTTTTCCAGTCCGACTCTGGAGGCCGAGGCCAGACTGGGTGTAAAATCGGTCGGCAGTAAAGAAAGGGCCTGCGAGGTGAGGGGCCGACGGCGCGCCCGGAGTTCCAAATGATAAGAGGCCATCTCGGTCTCGAGCGGCAAGCGGACCGCGGACCCCCCTTTTTTGTCAATTTCCCGGTAGCCGCTTAACGACCAGGAAGCCATTCACTGTTTGTGGAATTTGACCCGCTGCCATGGGGGACCACGCTGACCCACCCCAAAGGGGGCCCAGCCGCCTCGCGGCCGCGCCACGCTGGACCGGCCCGGCCGGGGTTTGTCGCCGGGGTGTCGCTGGCCTGGCGGGGCTGGGCGAGGCGGCGGCATGGCCGGCTGGTCGCTTTGTCTCACATTGTTACAGCCGCCCCGTTTCTCACGCCCATTCCCGTAAAGGCCCAGGCAGCGCTGGCAGCCCAGGCAGCGCAGGCAGCCCGGGCAGCACCGGCCCAGGCTGGCGCCCTTGGAAAGGTGAGCGGGAGACGCGTGGTCCAGACCGTCCAAAACCTCCAGACCCTCTAGACCGTCCAGACGGCGTGGCGCCGCCTGTCTTTACGGGACGCCCGGCAAACGGAAACCGATTTTCGCCCGCGAATTTTCCGGGGCCGCCAAACCAGGGCGGCGGCGGAAAAAAGTGATACATGTTGGCGTCATCGCGTATATCGCGCACTACACTATATACCGCCGCCGTCATTCATTCATTCACTCATTCATGCATTCATTCATCGGGCCATTCATTGGCCGTGCAGCTCCGCGGTCGTAACCGACAGGAACTCAATAAAAGCGTTGATGGGGTCGCGCGCAGCGGCGCAGCTACGGAGTGGGCCCAGCGCAAGGCCCCCCCCCACCTCTCTCTTCTCTCTCTTCTCTCTCTCTCTCTCTCTCTCTCTCTCTCTCTCTCTCTCTCTCTCTCTCTCTCTCGTTTTGTTCACATCCGCGAAGCAAAGGGCTGCGCTGTACTCGAACATTCCCCGGCCGCCACGCGGCCCGACTCGTTGATCAACTAAGTGTGCCAGTAAAAAGGAGTATGAATTATGAGCACCGGCTGCACCTGCACTTTGAAGTGCGCTTTATAGTGCCGGTGACGACAAGCCGCGAACCGCCGGCCTGGCCGAACTCTGTCCAGTACACGCTGGAAATCCAGGAAAGTGACTTCATGTTTTTTTCGAAAGTGAATCGAGGCGAAGCTGGCCGAGCTGATTTACAGTGTGACGACTGTGACAGTCACGATCAAACGAACATGACACGATTGCGACCTCATATTCCAGGGTATCCAGTGCTGCGGTTGCCACAGGATCGCCGTTGATTGCGATTGCAAAATGAAGCTTCTGCGGCTCTGGCAGCCTCAAAGGGTGTGGAAGGCCTTGGCTCGTCGGTCCAACGTCACAGTGCTGTCACGTCCAGCGCGGCGGCAGGGACACTGTAACAGTAACACAGCCCACCGCGTGAAACGAGGTGGTGGTTTTTGCCGCCCCTCTAGAGCCGTGTCATGCAGGTCAGGGCACTAGCATGTCAGCCGGCACAGCTTTACACGAGTAAACCCCAACTGGGGAAAAAGCGGGAAAGCTCCGGGTGTTGTTTTCGTTTTTTTTTTTTACGTTCCAAGAGCTTGGATTCACACCGTTCCGTGTACAGCGCAGTGAAATTTACACCCCTCGCCTCAAGCGGCCCGAAGGCCGAAAGCGCACGCACGCCAAGACACGCGCACGCGGGGGCAATTGTGTTATTCACCGAGTAACTCCTTGCGACTGCTCTACCCGCCCCGCCCCGCCCCGCCCCGCCCCGCCCCAGGGCGCCCCCCGTGCATACTTTCTCGACGCACTCCTCTGCAGCAGGCCTAGCAGGCCTAGCAGGCCGGGCCAAAAGTGACGGCGCCAGAAGTTGCGAGCGTAGTTTGGTGCTCCTCCGCCAGGTGCCGCTTCGCTTGGCCGTGCTTGGCAGCGCTGCAGGCGGATGCCTCGCTGCCGCCGTCTAACAAGGCCTGCTTCGGCGCGGTGACGTCACTGACGTCCTCCTTCGGCACGGCCCGGGCTCGCCTTCGGTATGATCACCATAATGTGGGAGTTTTACCGCCAAAGTCGCGGCTCGAAGCACTTCGGCCAACGAGCGCGGTGTATTGAATTTTTGAAAGAGGAGGCGACACGCGGGGACGTGATAGGAACGGCACACTTCATGGCCACCACTGCCGCCTCGCTGCCGCCGCAACGGTCCGCCTCCTACAAAGTCTTGTTGTTGTTGTTTTTATCTGCGGGTTGAACGCGGCTTGCGCGACAGAAATTGACTGCCTAGGTCCCATTTCCCGATTTCCAGACCTCGCCTGCTGACCGCGCACCGCACCCGCATCCTGCAGGTGGCCGCCGAGACCACCGCGTCGTGCCACCGCGTCGACCGCGCCACGCCACGCCCCCTACCGTGCGAATCACCGCCACCGCCATTATTCCGCATCTTTTATTTTCCCTTAAATAAAATTACCGCACCCCTTTTCCTGTTTTTGTTGATACAATCATCACGAAGCCGCCCCCTTCCCCCCACCCCCTTCCACGCCGCGCCACCACAATTTCCCCTGCTAATTGGCGCGGCATTACATCGCCGTCCGCCACGCGTGTCGTCGGTGAGCGTCGGTGTGTGGCACACTGTGCGCGCGCGCGTCTCGGTGTGTGTAAATTAGGAAACGGGCGCGGGGTGACGGGGGCAAGGGGCAGGCAGGCAGGCACGCGCGCGCAGGTTTGTGACAAGCAATTCGTCAGCCCACGTTTGCCAGTCACACACACAGCTTCGGCGCGCAAGAAACCGAAATGTGGACGAGCGCACAGACACACACGCAGACACACACACACGCACGGTGTCTTAGACACTGACATCCGCAAGAGACACGAGGTATGCATGCCTTTTTGACGCGTGTCATGTCGTCTCTGACGCGAATAAGACATTCTCATTCCGCGGTTATCTGCGGTGCGCTCCCTTCCGAGTGTGTGTGTGTTTGTGTGTTTGTGTTTGTGCATGTGTGTGTGTGTGTGGAAACGCGCGCGCGGGGTCGCAGGGACACAGTGAGGTAGGCGTTGCGCAAGGCGGTGTGTGTGTGTGCATGGCGACGGCGGCGGGCCCTGCAGCCCCCCCCCCCCCCCCGCGCACAGGCGTCACGCAAATGTTATGTATAGCACCTTTCTCTCTTTATTCCTGCGACGGCGTTCCTCATCGCGTTCCCCTCCCTTGATTTCGGGAAACAAACGACACCTCCCCGGGGAGCCCCCCTTCCGCGTGCGGCGGCGTGGCGCGGCGCGGCTGCGTGATGACGCCCTTCTTTCCCTTGGTGAGGATGGAGCGCGGCCCATCTGTCCGCCGGGCGGCCGGGCCGGTGTCTCCGCGAAGCAGGAGGCAGCCAGGCCCGAGGCCGGGCCGCTGGCGAGGTGGCCGAGGGTCAGCGCGTTTTAAGGGTGACCGTACTTTAGAGCGGCCTCGGCGGCGTTAGTTGGCACGGCCGCCGCCAGAGGCGCCACCTGTACACCTGTCCGCGGCGTCCGCGGCCCCGGCGCTTTAACTCCCCCTCCGCGCCCCGCCCTGGGCGCCGTGCTCCGCTGGGCCGCTGGCTCACAAGACGAATGGTCCAGTGCACTAGCTGATTGAATGGAACGGCAACGGCACAACACCAACACGGCGAGTGGCGCTATCGGTGTGTGGTGCATCGCCGCCACGGCCCTCCGGCAGCCACGCTGCACCGAAAGCAACAACACTCACGCCGCTGCTGCTGTTGTCCCTTGCGATTGTTGGAGCGCGTCGTCGCCGATGGTGCGGATGCCGCCAGCGGAGGGATTAGAGCGCAGAGCGCTGGCACCGCAGCAGACGGCAGCGCCTCGCTCGTCAAAAATTAAACTCTCGGAATGCACGCGGCCGCCCGTTTTTCGCGAGCCGCGCGCCGCGCCACGCACCGACGAACTTTCCATCATCCCGAAGACCGAAAATCACGGAGCATTACAGGTCATCAGCCGGGCGAG